TTTTTTTTGTTTTACTGAATGGGGCTTTGAGAGAAAACAAATTTTAATGAGGAAAGCCAAAATCACTAGAGGAGGAAACACTTAATGTGAGAAGGCTACATTGACTACAAAAAAAGTCATGGTAAAGCAAATGAAAATGAAATCTGTGAAAGACCCCTGTAGTATATCAAACAGTGAAGACAGATACTGTAGCCTTGACATGGGCTTTCAGTAAGGTCAGATATTGCAAGGTCTCAATCCATGTGCTGATTCCTGCAATGATAGTGCGCTGTGTTGAAAAAGTCAAGACTTTGATTAATTAAAGTGTCAGAGATTCTGACTGGGACTCCCCAAGCAGTGGTGAATGATTGGCTCAGTGCTGCTGTGGGTAGGGTTGAGAAAAAATAGCAACTTTTTTCATTACTTTAAAGAAAATGTCATAAAAATGTGACAAAAAAAAACAAAGTTAAAAAATTGTAAATTCAAACAAAGCAGGGAGAGAGAGTAAGATAAAGGTTTTTAGCAGACTCAGATATCGCTCCAGTTCCTTTAAAGATCCACGTTAGCTTTTCAAAAAGATTTTATACTTCTGAAATCTAGAGCTTGGGCAGTAAAGCATTTGTTATAACAATAGCATCATCATCTTTCTTCTTAAATGTAGTTACACCAAACAACATAAAACCTAAATTCATTTTGTGCTTGTTTATCTTTAGATACATACTGTATACGTATTTGAATCACTGCAAAAAAACAGAAATATCCATATCCAAAATATGTGAATTATTGTTTCCTTGTGCAAATTAAAAAAAGAGCATTGGCACTCAATCTCAGCTTCCAATCTTTAATAAAGCTACGCTTGACTGGACTACCTGTGAATGATGTTCCTGATCAAAATGTATTTGCTACAAAGAGTCCAAGAGTTTTCCCATCTTAACCTAGTATTTCACAGCTGGAGAATGTACGGTTTATTGATTTTGAAATAGGAAGATTGCCTTTTTTGTTCATGAGGAGATCATTTCCAGTGAAAGAGTTAGGAGAGTCTAATGAAGGTAAAGATCAAGGTGAGCCTTTTACAGTATTTTACGAGACCAGTTTCTCACTACTAGGGACAGTATTAATAATAATGATGTATTCATTGGCCAGAGCAAAAACAACAAGTTCTGTTGGGGACTCTAAAACTAAAAAGCTGTCCTTCAGAGCTGAGACCTTTGCTGTCCAAGATGTCAACAATAAGCAAGAAACAAATGAAAAAATGGGTTCTTATGTTTAATATTCTTGTTTTAAATAAAGAATAAGGTGAAAAATGTGGTATATATTAGAGACCAATAGGAACGTTTTTGCTGTTTTTGATACAGCCTGGATGAGCCACCAGTCCATCACAGGGCAGACACACAGACACACTCACACCAGGGCCAGTTTTCCCAGAAGCCAATTAACCTACCAGCATTAACCTACCAGTACCACACCTGAAGAAGGCTCCACGGCCAAAACATTTTCTTTCTTCTCTTTTTAGCACGGAATAAACCTATTACTTGTTCCTTTGCAACCTGCCAGTCTTTTGACTGGGAGAAAACTACAAAGACATGCTGGGGTGCAGGGATCCCCCAGAGGAAACCCCCTGTAAACCCAGGGGAACATCTACTGTAAGCTCCATGCAGATAGCGCCCCAGGTCTGAAATGGAACCCTGGACCCCACCACTGCTGCCAAGCAGCAATGCTAAGCAGTGTGCTGCTCACCTCCATTTTGTAATATTGTTAATTAAGATGAGATTTTTAATGTTCTTAGTTTTTCAAACAAAGTCAGAGAAGAGTTTTATTTTTTTTTGTTGCATCCTACTTTGAACACATGGAGTGATAAGACAACATAATGATCTTTAACCTACCCTCCACTTTAGTGACCACAGTTACTGCCTTGGATGTTCATGTTGTGTGTTGAACAATGAGTTTTTGTGGTATGGTTTATGTTGACAGTAATTCCTAGATGTTTTGCATTTTATTACGTGTCTGCTTCTGTAAATGCTGTAAGAGAGAGCAACTTAAATTTCTTATGACTAAGGTACAAACCGGAAGCTTTGGAAAATGTTTTTTTTGCTTTTTGCAGTGACAGTGTTTTTGATTTATCCCCTCAGCAGGAGGGTCCTATCATCCTGTGACTGACCTTATTCATGTGATTGTACCGGCATTGAAGTAGTAAAATAGCAGACGTTTTCATTTAATTGGTGTTGCTGTGGCGCTTTAGCTGGGGGCAAAAGCATTCGTGTTTTTGCCTTCTAACTATAACTCCCCAATTTTTTGGTACAAAACAACTGCAATTTTGGCAGCTCTCTCATGGGAGGGTTGGTTTCAGGACTGATGGAGTTCACATGAGGCAGCTGCTGAAATTGTTTTTCCATAACAATGATTCCCCAGTCCTGGGGAATACAGGGGCCCTTAGCGCGGTGACCCAGCCAGCTGTGTTTGTGTGTGTGTGTAGCTGAGGCTTGCTCATATTTGCAGGAGACTGAGGAAAGCATTTTAAAAATTAACACTGATGAATATTTCTTAGAACTTTATCTTTTTAATCATTTCAGTACATACCAAGAATTTGCATATTTATTCATCAACCAATTAATCGTCTAATTAGTCTAAGGTTTTTTTGGGGGGGAAGTGCAAAAATAATAAGGTTAAATAATCTGTTTTCATCAATTAGGACTGAATTTTCTGTGGCATTTAGAAATTTGCCTTCATTTAAATTTTTCTTCTGTGTCTTCATCTGTAAAATGTTATCTGCTAGTTTTTCCTAATTTTTTTTGTTCCCTGAAATGCAGAGTAAGACCTCTCACAATTGCCTTATATTCTTGATTAAATTTTGAGAAGCTGGTTTTTTCCTTTCTACAGTACACAGTTCCTGCATTAGTCATTACACTTTTTGATTAGTTCAGTACCTTTTAGATTAGTTTAACAGATAAGTACTAGTTAAGCAGTGAAAATATGTGGTGAAAATATTATTAACATTTGACTGTTTCCTAGATGTTTTTATGAAAGTTTACTGTTGAAATTGGTTTAGTCAAAGGCAATTTGTGAATTGTTCTATTTTAATAAAAGTCTATCCCTGAAAAATAAAACACACACCACTCTACATCAACCTTTGGGTCCCATAATTCATTCTATCCCTGCAAGCTGCCAGTGAGGATTGTGTTTGATTTGACTGGAACTGATCCTCTTGAAAGTCTCAGCTCACAGATTGGCTTCTTTATTTTTCTCCACGAGCTGCTTTAGGACGTCACCAAATGACGTTTTGCTTTTGAGTTGTAGCAGGTAAAGGTCTTCTGTACACAGAATAAAATGTATTTTTTGTGGGTTGTCTATTATCTGTTTCTGATGTTTACCCATGTTTTTTTTGTCCTATAGATAAAACTATTAAGTTATGGAAAGTTAGCGAAAGAGATAAGAGACCGGAGGGGTACAACTTGAAAGATGAAGAAGGAAGGGTGAAAGACCTTTCAACGGTGACATCTCTACAGGTAACCTCTTAGCTTGCTGAACCTCGCGTCACCTCAGTGTCATTAACATTTACTGACATTCCTACTGTACTCATATGTAGGTGGCATTTTCTTCTGGATTCATTTATCCTGTAACATTTGAATTGTGGAATAAATGTCATGCTTTAAATAAGTGTCATTGCTGCCCAGAATTTTACTAAAGACCTCAGAAACTAGACCACAGCAGAGCAGCAGCATACACAGCAATACAGGCTGAAAGTCTTGCAGTGGAGCTCCACGGCGGCTCCTCTGCATTCTCTGCCTTACAGGGCGTCCAGTCCGAGTTTTACCCTGATGTGGGGAGATTCAGAATTCTCCCTCTTCCAAAAAACACCATAAGCTTCTCCCCATCTGACTTGAGGGAAAACCGTACATTCTGAGCACGTCACTTCACTTCCAGACACAAACCCGTTGTTGAAATGCCAGCCACAAGCCCTCGCGTACTTCTCGCAGTCCTGCTCCTCCTGGCACAACAATAACTGTGATAACAGTTGTCCGTTATGTCTATTTACAAAGTGCTCCCAGTACTCTGAAAAACTCTGACGAGAAGCTAGAAAGGCTGGGTTGTATTGTTTCCATCTTCAAGCTTTGCCCATAAAATCAATCCATTTGTTATACACAGGTACTGTACTGAATTATTTCTAAATCCGTTTTAAATCTTGGAATAACCCTGTGGCCTTGGGCATTCATTCTAATCAAGTGCTCAAATGCTAAGACTAATTGATCTCTTAACTGAACTGTTGCTTCCCTCATCTTGGTTACAAAATCTGTAGTTGTTTTGCCAAGAAATTTAAAATGTCGAACTATTTCATACAGTACTGTATGTCCTAGGCTTTTGTAAGCTTTTTACAAAAGTGAGTTGTAAATTGTTGCAGCTCAGGATTTCCGAACTGTATCAACTAGGTGACTAGAAGACCAGGAAACCAAGGGAAAGGTAGGACTGGCAAGGTGACAGACACTCCAGAAATGTACTTTGTGTGTTCTGACATTGTCCTAATTCCTTCAGACGTGTGAAAAAGGGGATGTCTGAATCTTGGAAATTGATAGGAACTGATGTTAATTGATGACCCCCGCTTTACAGACTTTTTTATGTGGTGTAATCAAGCAAATATGTCAAATAAGGTTTTTTTTATCAGCCTGGGCAATTAAGGGCTCATTTGGAAAGCAAACCAGAAGGCGAGGGGATACTCTGACACCAAGGCTGTAAACTTCTGTTCTAAAGGATGCCCTTTTTTGTGAACACCTAGATATTATTTTTTCCAAACCCAATAAAATCTAACAAGTAAAATGACAATTTCCCTGCCCAGACACACAGCCCACGGCCATCCCCTTCAGTGGTATTCCCTCTCCACGTTTTCCCTTAAAATAGTGAGATAGCTGCGGGGCTTTGAGTGCAGCAGCAGCTCTTCAGTCTTTACCATCCCCCACTGGTACCATGGATCCTTGCAGTGGGTGTGATGACTACACTTGCTATTAACCTTAGTACTAAAATTAGTTTATATAGAGATGTAATAGAAAAACAATACATAAAGCCAGTGCCTTTGCATTCTATCAGACAGATTATGCATTGTGCATATAGATAGCTTGCCCCCCCAGAAGATACCCTAAGCCAGCATTGCAGAAATACGTCCTAAAAGACATACAGTATAGGAAGCACAATGCAAAAAGACTAATAAAAAATTAAAAATGTAGTTATTTTGTCATTCTGATTCAACTCCATTTTAAAAGGTAGTCCACTCTTTGTGTACTTAGACCTTTAAATAAATTGTCTAGATGTATTAAAGCAGGGATGAAGAAGTTAAGGGTCCAGTTACAATATGTAACATTCAACTGGCGACTGTATAAGATTTAAACAATATAATTTAAAAAAATACTTCACTGATGACATTAAGATCAGAGGTAGAATGAAGATGGAGGATTTTAAGGCCCTTGATGAGTTCCTCACCCCTGATATAAAGGTATTTTGTTTAAATCCAGAATATACTGTAGCCACTCCAAATTACAGTTGGCTGCAGTGTCTTCTTCATTCTCTCTCAAAAAAAAACAATTTGTCACATGTACAGTATATGGGAAAGAACGAATTTGTCTAGCTTGCATATTCCCTCTCTAAAGGTGTAAAAGACCCATTCTTAACTTAAACTTAACAAATGATAGCTTTCTTTAACTCAGGAATCTGACTAAAATATTTTTCCACAAAGAGTAGCAGATGTTTAAACATTTATGTTTACTTGCACTTTCAAAACATAGGTTTCAAAACAACTCCATTCTTAAAAACGTTTATCAAGGTGTGGAGGTTCCTGGGATCCCACAGGCAAGAAAGCCTGTCCTCTTCCTTCCTTCTGCTTTGCTTGTTTTAAGATTACTTTATTGGCTATATACAATTTCTTGCATACCCCAGCTTGCTCTCCATGAGACACACAGACAGGAAGAGAAGCTTGGGGTCAGAGAGCAGGGGTCAGCCATTTTATACGGCACCCCTGGAGCAGTTTGGTTTAAGGGCCTTGTTCAGGTGCGCAATGGAGTAAGATTCCCCTGCCAGCTGTGGGATTTGAACCAGCAACCTTCTAGCCTCAGGTGCAGATCCTTAGCCACTGTACCACCGCTCCGCCCAGTGGAGCCCTATTTTCTCAGTGAAAATAGGTCAGAAAACAGTAGCACAGGTTTGATTCTGTCTTCCTGTTCAGCTACAGTATGTCAGTCGGTATAGTGACGGCTGCTGGAGAGAAAGGCCACATGGGATGTGGTGATGGTCTGGACAGTGATGCGCTGTTGAGATCTCCTCAGGCTAATCAGGACTTTTTAACAGCTGTCTAACACATCACAGGGATCTTCGAAGTGCTGTTTATCACAGAGCTTTCTAATGAATAGCCTTGTGGTGGCAAATGTCATTTTGCGGCATGACTTCCTTGTGAATTTGACAAATTTAAATGATAAGAATGTGCCATAAAGGGTGGTGACATAATTCTTCATTTTTTAAATTTAAATTAGATTTTATTTTATTTTTATGTGAAACAATAGGGGTCATTCAAATAAGCCAATTGAAAGACAAAAGCAATATTTTGAACACTTGGCAATCTTGAGTTTTACAGTAATAAAAGGATCTGGATCTTTTTATGATTAACTGGATTACTGAATGACATAATAAAGTATCAATACATTTAATTGGTCAGCGTAGTGTCACGGTCTTTAGCAATGGTGCCTCATCTCTCTCGGGTCCTGGGTTTGGTTTCTTGCTGGAGTGCCTCCTGTGTGGAGTTTTAAGTTCTAGTGTGGTCACATGGCTTTTTTTCCTCTCAGAGGCACGCAGGTGAGACCAGCTGGTGCCTCTTGTCCTTTTGTATGGTTAGGCTTTGGCTCCCAGTAATCCTCCATAGCTGAAGCACAAATGCATAGTGGATAGAGTGAGGGATGCACATACCCTTAAAAAAACAAGGAAAACCCTTGGTTCCACAGATAAAGATGTTTTGAATGCGAAAATCTTCCTCTGTGTACTACAGAGAAATGACCAAGGCAGTGAAGACATTTTGATACAGTAAATTCAACTGCTGAGAGCAGACACAAAGGCAGCAGAAAGCTCATGATGCTACCATATGCATGAAATTACCAGAACCCTGCAAAATGCTCTCTGCCAGTTTAGGCACTAAACCCTTTAGATGTAGACTTAAGAGAGTCTGCAGTGATAGAGTCTGATTCAGGGTCTCCCTTTCTGACTTGGATTGAGACAGTCTCAGCTTGCAGGCAGGAGTGACAGCCAGGTGACAAGCAGGCCACTGAAATCAAGAACAATGGCACCTTGGTGATGGTAGTAAAAATACATTTTGTGGATAGTAGTTTCACTTTTATTGCTGCTGTCAACAGTCCAGGTAGCTGTATTTCAACTGGCTAAAGCTTGTCGAACCAAGATGTTTTAGATTTAGAGAATGTTAAATACACCTGGTCATGTTAGTATTAGTATACCATGATTTTCCGTGACAAAACACTCAAAAAAAAAGAGATGGCCCACTGCATAAAATGTGCAGTAACCCTTAAGCAACCTTTAATAATTTGTTGAAGCTTACCCAGAAATGCTGTCGAATCATTAAAGTCTCAAGCAGATTTCTTTTTTTAACAGTTGGGTTCACTAGATTGGTTTGCCTGTCTCTTTCTCCTCTCAAATCTGAGAGCTCCCATCAGTAAGGAACAGACAATTGCATGGTCTGCTATCTTCAAAGAGACAGAGGAACGGGTGCTTTTGCTTTTGTCTGATTTTTATCTCCATTGGTTTTTCCAAATTTCATTTCACGCCACATGATTAAACTGAATCTGCTGCTCAGTAGAATGCATCACAATGAGATAAGGCTTCCTGCTGTCTGAATAGCTGATTCTCACAGAGTATGTTTTTTGTATCACATTATACAAGCACAGTTTTATTTCTCTCTCACATTGTCATTAGTATCAGATTGTATTACCTAACGGAAAAAGGGATATCAAATTCCACTGCGTGACAACTTATTTAAATAACAGTGGCGGCACAATCACTTCCACATTGACTTCAGTGAAAAGGACTTAAATAAGGGTACTTGTAAACTCTGTGAAGATACATATATTTACATATTTTGATTTCATTTCAGAGATTTCAATTTTTCAGATCTTTTTGAAAGGAATACACCTAAAATTTGCAAAATGATTAAAGAGACTGAAATACAGATTTTTCCTTGTTGATTCATGTATCTGACAGTTGGGATGTTTAAAAGCATTTTCTAGTGATTATATTTTAGTTGATACAGTGGGTTTTACATTTTATCCATGCATTTTCTGTATTTTATTAACCATATGTTCTTATTCTTTTCCAATTATGTTGTTAATGTAAAATATATTCTCCAGACAACATGAAATTGATGTGAAACTGATAACTGACTGTCTTTATTTACCTTCCCAGGTGCCAGTTTTGAAACCCATGGACCTGATGGTAGAGGTGAGCCCACGGAGGATCTTTGCTAATGCTCACACCTACCATGTCAACTCCATCTCCGTCAACAGTGATTGTGAGACCTACATGTCTGCTGATGACCTCAGGATTAATTTGTGGCATCTGGCCATCACAGACAGGAGCTTCAGTATCCTTTGAATGATTTTAGAGTGATTAATTGCAATGACACTTGTTTGTTTGTTTCAACCTGATTAGGTCTTCCAAATGAGAATAATCCCAGACATAAGAAGTGATAATACACAGAATTGCAGTTATACTATCTGCAAAGTGTAAAGAGATCAGTCTTAGCTACTGTATTCTGAATCAGACAGCATTGGTGTGAGAACAAGGTGGTGGGTGTTCTTTGAAACAGTTGGTGGTTGCATTTTAAATCTGGGCAGATACGGCATAAATGCTCAAACCCCACAGTCTCCTTAGTGGAGCACACAGTAATGAGGCAGCCTGTGCAACCTACAGTAGAAAAACAAATGGCTTAATTTGAAAAGATGTCATGTTCTGAGCAGGATGTTTTGGCATTTTATTACAGAATTAGAGATCACACTATCACTAATCAACTTAGATATTTTTCGGTTTCATGCAGCATGTTCAGAGCACATTTCACATAAATAACAGATACCTCGCTAAAAATTCAATGCATAGGATTACGTCAGCCTTGGGGGTATGCAGAATCAGTAATGGGGTGCAGGCTTAGGTGTTCTTCCATTTTAACATTTTTAGCTCTTTTTGAGGTAGATTGGATATTTAGAGTAGCTACAATGGCAGCATTCACCTGATCAGTCACTCTTCATCTTCAGGGTCACTTGGCATTGTGTTGGAGCCATCGGGAGATGACTGTGATCCACAGTTGTAGCAGTTGTAGCCTCTGGTAACAATTAGGAGAGTAGGCCAGCTGGGAGAACAGCACACAGTTTAATGAGTGTTTGATGGTAACATAGATAGAATACACCTGCAGGGTTAAAGGATCTCCACTGCATTCTAATTGTCTTCCAACTAATAAGGTATTAGTGGGTAATAGACATATTAAAAAATAGCGTTTCAATTTAATACGCCTTCCATGAAAACCTTGTTGCTTGTGGCTTCAAATGAACGATAGATTGTATTATGATGTTACTCAAAATACCATACGATATTGAATGTTATGAAGTTCTATACATGCTAGTGCCACCACATATCGTAAGCTTTTGTTATATTGCTATATTTGTTTGTTTTATTTGCACATACGGGCGAATGACGAAGTGTAGACAGACTCTTTCAGCCCTCACACCATCAAGCAGCTCATCTTTAAACATACATGCTCCACAGCAGTAGAGCTCAGTGCTGGTGACTCTGATTGGAGAAGAGGTACATCACAAATCTGCAAGTGCCCAGAGGGCTGCAGGGGTCACCACTATGTTTGCCAAGAGCCAAGACAGGCCTGGCCAGCTGTTCTCAAACTATCCTATGCGGTGCTCAGCCAGTTGTGAGCTGCCGCTTTGAGGAAACCTGGTCACAGTTGGTGAGTGACACGACCAAGCCTCGAACCTGCAACACCTGGATCATAAGAGTTCAGCCTGCACTCACATGAACACCTTTTCTGCTGAAGCCAACTGTGAGCACCCCCCCTCCATTTTCCTCCAGTTACTATTTTACTTAAATTGTTTGAGATAAAGGTCTTTTAGGTGCAGTTTACAACTGCAGTATCATATAGCGACTCCTAACACAAACCCGGTAAGTACTGTAAATGACCAAGCCATCCCTCTCTTTACACACTGGGATGCCAGCAGCAGGTCTCTTAGATAATCACATACTGTAGGTCATGGAGAAAAGCTTTATTTACAGTGTAACACCTGATGCTACCAGGCCAGTTATCAGGGCAACCAGAAAATACCACAAAGCTTCAAGATTTTCATGCACATGCACTTTATTATCATTAATACTAGGATTTAATGTTTTATTCTAAAAAGCTGTAAACAGGGAGGGTTAGTAGAAGGGAATATGAAATTAAGTAATGCACATAAGCATTATGTATGGGCGAAAAATGTGTAGAAAGCTTTATTGTCAGAATTCCAATAATCAGATTTATATTTTTCTTTCCCCAATTTCATTATGTCTCCATTCCCTCCCTTGTAGTTCATTTTTGCTCGGGTAACCGAGATCTGTAAAAATCAGTGAAGCAAGAGACATTATTAAATCAAAATGAAGAAAGATATTTCTTGGAACCAGAGGCAATTCGTTTTTGTTTTGAGGCAATATGTATCTTTGGGTGGGTAGCTGCGTCAGCATGCGTAGGCTGCAAAGGAACAAGTAATAGGTTTATTCCATGCTGAAAAAAAGAAGAAAGAGAACACAACGTTTCGGCCGTGGAGCCTTCTTCAGGTGTGAGAGAGACAGGGCAGTAGGCAAAGGTAAAGTAGCGGGAGAACAAAGGTTGAGAGGGAGGAGGAGTGAGAGGCGGGAGCAGGGGACAGAAAGAGAGGCCAATCAAGAGGTGTGAAATGAAACTTCCAATGAATGGAGAAAATTTAAAAGAACAGTAATCTATCGTTAAGGGAAGGGAGAATGTGTGATCCTAGCTGCAGAATAATTTTAGTTTCGGTGGTCTTTCTGATGTATGAGTTCGGAAAACCGTCTTTGAGAACACAATATGTATCTTTGTCATGAAAACATCTTGAAAATCTACCTTCTTAAGGGTCTTCAGGACATTCATTTGTCCTATACAGTTTATGGGATTTCTTGGTTAATTCTAAAGGAGTGTAGCCATTAATTGTCATCCTATAATTTATGAAGCCGATATAACTGTAAGCCTAGGAAAATAATTCAGGTCTCCTATCTCCAGATAGGGTGCAAGGTGACTGGAGAGAGACTAATGATGAATTGGAAGGTCTCCAGCAATTGTTCAGGAGTAGTACACTATTTTTAATGAAAATTTGACTTAAAGATAATACTTAAGCTAATATATCCCTGTAGATTTTCAGGATATTCATAAAATATTCTGACAAGTTATCATGAAGAAAAATAAGTATGCCATTTATAATTGTCACATTTCCTCATGAAGAAGTGTTTAAGAAAGAAGTTAAATGTGTTTTGATAGCTTTTCCAGTATTAAAACCACAAAATATGACCTAATTACAGTAGTTCCTGTGTCATCCTGCATATTAGTAGGTGTTGATGCAGTACAGATCAGCCAAAGGCAGACTGTTAATTTTTCCCTAAACATTGAGTTATTAAAGGCTACTATCAGATTAAGAAGAAGCTGTTTGACTTTAATTCTTCTGTTCATAAAAAGAATGATACCGGTTTGAAGACCTGAAAAGGGTCTTTCAGGAGTTCTTTTCAGTTTTACAAAAACAACCTTAAGCTATCAACTGCTGAATGCATGTATACACGATTTGCAATTGCTGTAATTTGCAATTGTGCCATTTTAATAACAAGTGAGTGTTAGTGTTAGTTGAGCCAGTAGGGAGCCCTCACCCTGGACTCTGTGTGGGTCTTAATGCCCTATTATATCTTGCCACCCTTCAGATGAGACATAAAACCAAGGTCCTGATTCTCCATTGTTATTAAAAGTCCCAGAGAATTTCTCAAAAAGAGTAAGGGTATTACCCCCGGTGTCATGGGTAAATTCCCCCCCTGGCCTTTACTGATCATGGCCTCCTAATAATCCCCATCTATGAATTGGCTCTCTTCACCTCCTTACTGATAGCTGGTGTGTGGTGAGCGTACTGGAGCACTGTGGCTGCCGTCGCATCATCCAGGTGGGGCTACACGATAGTGATGATGAAGGGAAGTCCCCATTACCTGTAAAAGCTCTTTGAGTGGAGTGTTCAGAAAAGTAAATAAATGTTAGGATTCTTCTGGTTATTATCAAGCAGTATTTACTTATTTGTTTTTTATTTTTTTACTCATTAGCTTTTTGAATTATTAACTGAAATGATACTCAATGCCTGTGCGTTTAAGCTTTGTGGTGGGTGTAGAAATGGGGCACACCTTAGCCTGTCAAGTACTTCATTGCAGAGAAAAGGCCATTCCAGTGGCAGCTTCCTGACATTACTGTTCGCACCCTGGTGAATCAAGTTGAACAGAAATTCGGGCAGTGTTCTGTTGTCTTGCTTGGAGTTGGTGGCTAAGATGGTCGCATATTGTTTTGAACTCTGCTGCTCCTGCTGAAACGTAGTCTCAGAGTGAGGATTAATCAATGTCGGCAATCTATTGAAGGAAAATACCCTGCGGTTGACTGTGTGACCTGTCATATACGACCATATGTTGTTAAAACCCAGACTACTGCTCCTTCTCAATTATCTCTTAACCCAAGAAAGAATTGGAACAAGATGATAAATAGTGTATGAAATTCTGTGCTTATTTCTGTCTGATCTTGAGAGAGGATGGCGAGGGGTGGAATTTGAATATCTTAATGCAGTGTAAAGAGATTGGAAGTATCCTGGGTTATTACTATGGAAGCAGAAATCCCAATGGAAATCAGAGGCCCTGTGCAGAGAGGTGTCAAGCCTCTAGGTGATAATTGCAATAGACTCACTTCCTAGCCAAAGCCGATGAAGCTCACTCATTAATGAATTTGGCCAATGCTACTCACTGGTAGAAAAACAAGTCTGAAAAGTTTATCTTTTTGTGCCCCATTTTAAGGACCTGCAACAATTCATTACAAAGATAATAGTCAGTTAAACACAGTACCTGTACCCAGGAAGCAGCTGATATTTTCTATTTATAATTTCAGTATATATTTGGAAAGCAGGCCAAAACATAATATACAGTATACAGTAGCTATATTGTAGTACTGTAAATATAGCTACTGTAAGTATACAGGCAATTCTGGGTTCAGTTATCAGATTGTAAATTATATGCTAATGTTTTCTCTCAGATAAGTAATGCTACCTTTTAATAGTAATTCAAGATTTTCGTGTGTTCACTGTGTATATACTATATAAGGGGTCGTTTAAAAAGATTTCGGTTTTGACCAATTTGGAATTGATGTGGTTACCTTTCTATTTCTTTTTGTAAACAAAAGAAAATTAGCATTACTATTTTAAAGATTGTAACCCTGGTTGTTATTTTTAAAATGTTGTCTTTAGACAGTAACTTATGAAACAAGAAATGTGCTTGCTTTAAGATTGAAATAGTGCACCTTGCATTTTTGTAAATCTAAGTAGAAGTTTCAATCTCAAGTGACATATTAAAACAAAACTGCAGGCTGCTTTCATTTGAGCAGAATTACAGTTTAATTCCCTTTTGACTTGTACATTATCAGTTTGGATCGGTTTCTTGTTCCATAATACTGTATACAGTATTTCAATATTAGATGAATATTAGAATGAAGAAGTTTCAGAAGGGTGGCACAGTGGTGGTGCAGTGCGTTGCTGCCTTGGGTTAATTCCAGCCTTGGGTTTCTATCTGTGTGGAGTTTGGATATGTTCTCCTGTTTGCATGGCTTTACACCAGGTGCTCTGGTTTCCTCCCACACTCCAAAGATATACTGGTAGCTTATTTCTGACTAAATTGGCCCTGGTATGAGCATGTTTGTGTCTGTCTGTGCAGTGATGGACTGGGGTCCAGGGTGTGTCCTGCCTTGCGCCTGTTGCTGGCCAGGATAAGGTCTGGCTATCCTGCAACCCTGTATTGAATTAAGAGGTCAGAAAATGGCTGGATTGAAGAGCTGAGATTATTGTTATCCTGTTGAATTAAGGTGGCAAGAAAAATCATGAATCATACACCCTACAGTGAACTTTAACTTCTATTGGTTGAGAAACCACACTATATGGAATTGTCCTTTCTCTCTTTTGTTATGGAGATTCACCCTTACGGATCTCATGTCTGTTCTAAGCACCTCTAATTTAAGCCTCTTGATTCCACAGTATTCTCTAAAAGCAGAAAATACATGGGCAGATATAGTATTTTCCTTGAACTGTTGCTTTTGTAGTTGTTTTTATTGGAAATTCTTAGTATTAATTTTTGTACCATCCAGTTTGCAATCCCCAGCTGTTAAGATGGCTTCATCATCGTGATCTTGATACCAGTGAAAACAGGGGTGAGGGCAGTGATTGCTTTCCTCAGAAATGTTCACTGTAGGAGAGATGTGTTTCTGTTTGAAAGTCCCAGAACACCCATATCAGAGTAAACTGTGATTGGAGGTGTTACACTACTCCTAATGACCTAAATGTCATCTCATAGGCACTTGTCAAGTTGCAGATTTTCTTGAATACAATTCACAGTCATTTCCAGACATACTATAGCTCAGACCTCAGAGTGCACTCTGAATGAGTAGTCCTTTTTAGTTTGGCTGTGGGTGTCTGAAACAGCCCAGAAGCAAGTTCCCTGGGATTCTTTGAGAAACAGCTAAATGTAACCTCAGATCAATTAGCTGTTAGCAACAGAATTTGGAAGTACGGTATTCTGTAATACTGTGGAAAAAGTAAAACAGAAAAAGTAATCCTTTATAAATCAAGTATAATGTTTTCTTGATTTAACCATTTTTCTGTCAATTCTGAATTAAGATCAAAGCACCATTGTAAGCACTGTATTTAGACATTCACAGAGAATGTAGTTTTCATGTTTTTGAATTGATAATGATTTAAGTACTGTATCCAAGACCCTTTCACAGACAGTTCACATACTCTTTGGCAGAGATTCACTCTGACCCTCACAAGACTGCTTTAGCTTGTGTTTGCCTCTGGGCATCTGTGTGAAATCTATAATTAGACCGATGCCTTAGGGACAGATTATTTAATTAATTGGAAGAATCATTTTTTCTGTGAGAAATTCTACTAGTGGTTCTACTGGTGCCAAACCTTTCAGTAGTTTATTTTTGTATCTAATCCTGTATGCTTAAGACAAGCAGGGTTTTGCTAATTATAAAGAAATAACAAAATGACATTACCTAATTACAATTCTGAGTATTTCAAGGCAGAAGACTCGGTTGCTGGGATGAAAATAAAAGGTTGAAGACAATTGTTGATGCGAAATGCAAAAGGCTTCTTTCAGTATACATAATGGCATCTTCCCCTCAGTCTGCTTTTTGACGGCCATTATAGTGAAATATTGATGTAAGAGTTTAAATAATTAACGTTATAGCATTTTTTTTCCAGCAGTACTTATGACAAACGTTATTTTATTCAGCTTGATTCTGAATCATCCTATTGTGTTATCTCAAGTCATTTTTTTGGTTGATTGAGGTTTCTTTTGTTTGATTTTTGAGGAATGTAAACCTCAGAATAGAATCTCACTAATTATTCCTTTACAGAGCAAGATTATTCAGATACAAACTCTGAATAGAATTTAGCAACTTGCCAAATGTTAAATCTACCTAAGGCAGAGTAGTTTATCAGATGTTAACAATAAAATGATTGGCACCTATTCATGATAGAAGATGCTAGTTATGAAGAAAAATGTAATTTTTGCTAAAGGCAAGCTGCTCTCTCTGTCTTAATATAGTATGTGTTGGTTTTTTTTTCGTGTTTGATGTTCCCTTCTCTGGCGGCAGAATGCACAGTGGTTAGAATTGTTGTCTCATAGTGCTGGGGCTCTGGACCTGGGGTGCTGTCTGCATGGAGCGTGTAGTTTCTCCCTGTGTTCACTTGGGTTTCTTCCCATGCCTTTAGGAGGAAAAGACATACTGGCAGGTTATTGGCCTCTGGGAAAATTGCCTCTGATGTGAGTGTGTGTGCTGTGATGGACTAATGTCCCATCCAGTGTATATCCCGCCTTGTACCCGTTGTTTGCCACGACAGGGTCTGGCTTCCCAGCAACCCTAAATGAAATAAAGTAGTTAGAAAATTGGTAGATGGGTAGATTTTCCCTTTTCAGAAGTGCTGAAAAATGCATTCTTAGGAGAAGCCAGTCCTTTGCGTGTGAAGGTGAGCACAGCAGATCACCTGGCAGGTTTTTCTCCGTTCTCTGTCCTGCTTTCTCTTTTCCGTGAAGTCTCTCTGATTCCTCATTTAAAGGATCTTCTGAACATTTTGGAATATTCACCTCCATTTAACTTCACCCTGCGTTTACTTTCGCAGTCAGCTCTGAAAGGCGATGGGGTTACTTCAGTAAAATAACTACAGGATTATGTGGCCCCCTGTGATGTTTTAATATTAACATTTAATTAGCGAGTTGTATTGATCAGAGAAGTTGTGTTTTTAGGCTTGGCTATACGGGCCACTGATTTTTCCTTCCGGTTTGTACATAGCAGGAAACCCGGGGCTCTGTATGAACTCTGTCTGCCAGAAGATATAAGTAGTGTGTCAGTTTAATAACATTTTAGCTCACTGAAGCCGATCATAGCGGGAAATGATCCAGAGTACCACGTGAGTGTATTCAATCAGCCCACAGGTCTTTGAAAGGATGCTGGTGTTTCGAGGTCAAACGCAGGGCTTGGGAGAGATGGGTACTGCCATCATCTTTCAGTTTGTAATTAATGTAAACCATTTAATCCTTCTGACATGGGTGGTATGGATAGATCATTGGTACTTACACTTTTATCTGTTGCAGACTCTAGGGAAACCTGACGTTTTGTGCTGCAAAGATTTTGGGTTACAAGATGCCAAAAATATACATCTGAAGATATTACAAAATGGTCTGTACAGCTTTTGCACGCCACTTAATTGTACATTGTGTCTTAAGGGGTACTTGACCATTTCTTGGATTGAAATACTGCTCTTAGTTTCAAAACAAATTACCTTTACACTGTATACATTCCACTTCTTTCATCAATAATTCAAAAATGTTAATTTAAATAATTTGATGAAGTGTTGACTTTGGAAATTATTATAGTCTTGAATTTTCAACTGTGGTTCTTCAGGTTCAAATATCCTCATTTGACATCTTTACATTGTTGTGTAATGCACTGTACATTCAACACAGTAACAAAATGAGGAGAATGATTTTTACTGTTGTGTATCAGGAATAGAATTTTATTTGGTCTATTTATAGCTTATTGTTAAGTACTGTATGTAATATATGTACATTTTAATGAATGCGTGTCTACCACATTTGCTTCACATTACAAATACTGTGGTTTTTCACAGCTCTAGAAAGAACCTCCAGTTGCTACTCATTTGTTTCTTTCAATAATTATTTTCTGAAACACTGTAGATTAGTACCCAGAGGGTAATGGCCATAATAATTATGTTAGAGTTCACAGCATGAATTACAGTTAATTTTGTAAACAACAGTGCTCATGCCAGCATTAATCCTAATAATTAATAATCCTTTTGAATGCACATATTAGGCAATCAGAAGGTGCATACAGTATGTATCTTCTAATTTGTTAGTTAGCTGAACAATTTGCTACTGAAGAAGATATGATGTCTACATTTTTGCATACCTCGGCTATAAACAGTAGCAAGCTAAGAGCTTTATCTGGGGCCTTTGGAAATAATCAATGTCTCACATTAACAATTAACCAGCTGTCAGCTCACAGTATTAAATGGCCTTGGAGTTTTTCATACTGTTAACTGTTCATCCAGTGTTGCCCAAACTGTACATAACGACAGTCAAAAACAATAACAATTTTGGTGCAAAGTTTTTATATCCCACGCGTGTAAACGGTAGCAAACGGTTGTGGCCGCAGTTTTGCCAGTCCTCAGGATATGACCCACACCTTTCAAATGAAGTGATTTGAACTTCTCCTGCATGTTTTCCTGAGTGACCGTCCCTCTCAGATATTGTTGACATCAAGCCTGCCAACATGGAGGAGCTGACGGAGGTGATCACGGCTGCAGAGTTCCATCCTTACCACTGCAACCTCTTCGTCTACAGCAGCAGCAAGGGAACGCTTCGCCTGTGTGACATGAGGGCCTCTGCTCTTTGTGACAAGCACTCCAAACGTGAGTGGCCAGCTTTTACGGGGTACCCTGCATGCCCTGAGACTAGGCGCTGAAACGGTGTTGTTGCTTCATTGGCTGAATTCAGATTAAACTGGTTGTCTTCAAAGCAAAAGCAAAATGGCTGTCTCTGTCATTTGGAGTGACTCTAAGGTTATTCACGCCTTGGTAAAAACAACACTGATACTGTATGTAGCGGCCATACCAGTGAATCTGAGGACGAGACCTGAGTTATTTCAATGAACAGAGTTTATGCCAGATTCACACCACGCTGACTATAGAATATGGATGAAAGCAATACCAAAAAGAAGGACGTTTTTTTCTTATTCAACACTTCCATCAGGAAGAAAGCAGGCTGTACAGTTAAAGGTATTTACCTTAAATGGGTCATTTATTTTCTTACGCAGTGTAGGTAGTCCATGATCTAGTCTTAATGATTTCCATTAAGCTTTCTGAATATAAAATAAATGACCAAGAGCTATCTCAAATCCCATAAGGCACATCTGCCAACTGGCCAGTTCAGACACCGATAAATAGAAGATCCCTAGATAAGAGAGTGACATTTGGTGCCGGAAGGTGTAATAGGTCCATGTAGTCATTGATTAAACTCCATTTTCCAGATCTATGAGTTAGAAAATAGCCATTTAATGTTGCATCACCAATATGAACTGGGGAGAATGGGCCCCTACAGTGGTGCTGAAGGGAGACATTCTGCACAGCCCATTACTGATTATTGTATAAAATAACAGATTACAGAGCAGGGGTTCACAGTATTAAATGCATAGCATGTTTATCAAGTAAAGCTAAACTTTTCATTCATAACATTTGGTTATAACAAATTGTCAGGTTGAATATGTAAAAAAAAAATAGACACATCCTTGAATAAAGATCGAAAAATTATTGTTTTCAATACACCGCTCAGGAACAGAAATGTGCTAAAGAACAGTAGGGTAGAAATCCATAAAACATTGTGGGACAGAGGTTTATATTTCCAATCAGCGTGAAATCCTCTGCAGGGCTGATTGATTTGTTCATGAAAAAAGATGCATCTCTGTGGTGTTTGTTACACTGTAGTAAATGAAAATGATATTTTAAAAGGACAGTTCAAATCTCGGGATATAATTGGAGCAACACTTTTTCAAAGCTGATTCATTGTTCATTCTGTTTTTAGGTTCTGCTTGCATCCTTAAGAATTTAGGTTGTGGAGTTTGTTTTGTGTCTGGGATTCTTTCAGCCTTCATCAGCATTCCTTACCACATAGTGCATTTGAAATTCATTTCAGCAATAAAGTGTTTTGAGCCAGCTCGTGATTTTCATAGAAAATCTCATTCATTTCTTCAGGTCTCTAGAAAAAAACACCATACAGCAGTGTGCAGACAGCTTTTAACCTTAAAGGAATAGTATTAGAGTATTCATATTACATGTACTCAGTACTACACGGTCGAGATTGGGAATGTGAATAAGGTTAACTTCATTTCTATAATCACTCACATGTTCTCACAAATAACTTTCGTCCTCAGCATGACACAAGCATAATTACAGTAGAATTTGATTGTGAAATATTTTAAATTTGCTGAAAGCATAGCCTCCAAAAAATGAAGAGGAATATGAAGGCATAAAGAAGTCTCATGTCGATTAGCTGCATAGAAGTGCTGATTAAAGCATGAAGGGTCTCCACCTGTCTCTTTGTACAGAGCAGTACAATGGTAGCAAGCAGGGGCTCATTAACCATTAGGAGCTCAAGCCTTTTGGTTAAATGTAGATGAAGTATTATTGGAGAGAAGAGTAGGGAAATGAAATTGGTAATTGGCCTCCTCTTTATGGAAGGTCATCAAGGCAGTGTCAAAAATTTTACTGGAATGTCTCTCTCTGGATCATTTGGCATTTAGGAAAGAACGTGTTGGGTTTTAATGTGCCATGTGGTTGATCATTGATTTTTATTCCGTTCTGCTGTGTCATTACCATTTAAATTAATGGAGGGGAAATTATATATTCACATGTTTAGGCAGAGAGCATTAGAATGTGGATATCTTTCTATTCTTATATAGAGTTACATTTTATTTTTCATTATATTTTGCATCAATAATTGCCCATGCAGAAATACTTGATCCCTCCTACAAATGGTTCGTCAGTCAATTAAAAAAAACTTTGGCTAACAGAACTAATGTTCCTTTGGAAAATGCAAAATGATATTAGTGCATAGAACATGATTTGATATTTTAGCCAAGGCCCCCTTCTCAGTTTAGTTCTTCACCCATTTTCAAACAATTTCATGAGTCCATATACACATTGGCTAATTTAATTTATTTTAAAAGATTATAGACTGGTTCTTCATTTCATTTGATTGCAGAGCAAAAATGTTTGAAGTTTATGGTTTAATGTTGCCTGAGGTTTTGGATTATACTATATACAGTAGTTCAGTTGGCCTGCAGGAAAATTTCAATGACCTGGAGCTCAACTAGAAGAGTCCAAAGCATTTCCAGATGGTGAAGTGAATAGCCTAATGCCAAAAACGCAGTCCAAACAGACACACACTGTCAAGAAAATTAGATTCCCTGTGTTAGTGAGTTAAGGTATCACAAGGTCATAGAAATCAGTCTGAGCATCTAAGATAATAAACCATTTCCTAAGAAGATCATTTTCAGAAGTCATGAGGTTTAATTGGGTCTTGTCTAATCAATTCTTGTCAAGTGCTTATCAGCTCCCAGTAGAGAAGACTGAATCTGTTTCCTTTCATTTGTACTGTTTTACATTTCAGAATCAAAACCTTTTTTTGAGACCCATATATTTTCTGAAGACCCACACACATAGAGTGGATCTTTTACTGTGACCTTTAATTCTCTACAGATTACCTTTCACTTGAAATTGAAAGACTGTGACAGGAGTCCCCTACAGCACATTCTAATTAATATTGACTTCTACCGATTATGGGGCACAACCATTCTAAATCTTTAAATTGACTGTTTTTAGTTAAAGTATTTGATTTGTGTGTCTCAAGCATACTTGCAGTTTTAAATCAAACGCCTTGTGGTAACCTTTTTATATTGTTGGGAAAATACTTAGCAGACAGAATAATCCATTTGAACATCATTTTCAATACATTTAATAAGTAGCTGTTATATGTTGTGTTTTTTTGTTTGATTAATGTGTTTCCTCCACAGACATTTGATTGAGATGATTGCATGAGTTATAAGAAATTACGTAGACGTTTTGAGTAATAGTAATTTAACCAATAATAGCCTTTTTATGTACTGGCTTTAAAGCAAGTGCCTCAATTGCCTATTTTACAATGGAACTATTAAAATTGCAAAGCCAAAACCTTAGCAAGAGCAGAAGACAATCATGCAAATGGTTCTCTAAGTGTTCTTTAAGTGTATTTGCAGTAATGTAAAGTTTATGGAATAATGCAGTCCAAAATAGTGTAAATATTCTGAGAAAAGTCATAATTTCAGAGAGGTGGAAGAGAGACAAATGTATTCCCAAATATAGGCTCTAACAATGTGTTTGTATGCTGTTGAAAAATCCACCCTCAGGATCATTATTCTTAACAAGTGCCACTCTTCTACTGAAAATGTTTGTGTTTTGCTGTCTTCTCCTGCAGTTGCATTAATCATGTCCTGTCAACATATGGCTGTGAGGCACAGCAGTTAAACTTTCATTTAAAAAAATAAGTTTTAAAAAGTCAGTTTATGACTATGTGGAAATAATGACTGGTTAAGAGTTGTTTTTATTGTTGCACAATTGTTTTTTCACCTCAGTGAGAAGACTGAAAACAGGAGCAAATGCTTTACTAAATAGAATTAGGGCTCATTTTTATTTTTCTATTCTTCACATTCATGCTAATTTGACAGTGGAAGTCAGCTTAAAACAACACGTTTACTGCCACATTTACATTTTAAGGACAGTCATTCTCTTTTGCTATTATAGTGTTATTTTTGCACTAAACAAATGGGCAGAGATATTCATAAAAACAACAGCGGAAATCAGTGGATAGAAATTTCAAGATGCAGTACTGTATATGAATGCAAGGTATCAGAAAGTACTGGAGCATTATAGGTCTTGGTTGAGAACACATTGATTGTAGATGATTCAAATATTGTTTTACTTTCATCTTTCATCTTAGAGAAGGCTGTGTTACAGTATGTACTGTATAAGATTACCTGGAAAGGCCACTGGTGATTTCAGAAGGCACTGTTTATGGGTAATGATAACGGTTCCCTAGTTGCACTTTTTCAAGGGAGAGCAGAAAAGGAAGTTGAAAGAAAACAATATTTTTCAATGTCTTCAAACAAGAAGGTTTGAGACATGTTACGAGTAAGACTTTGATCTTTTGCTTCTGTGTATTGCAGATGGAAAGAAACTGGGCGATTTCTTATTTTTCTCACATTGATGCTTTTGGCAGCTGTCAGTTGTAGCACTAGCAGATCTTTGAGAAAGTTCTTGGCCTATTTTTAGTCCTAGTATCACAGCTTTAAAGGATTTTTTATTTTTTAATGTATGAATTTTATTATTTAAAACTGGCTTTTGATTTTAAACACATAAAATAACATCAACATTTATTTTGACATGGTAAAATATTTTATGTGTGTCACGACAGTAAACTGTTTTATGTAGCATTGAAGGGCCAGAAGACTTAAAATCTGATATTGGAAAAATCCTAACACAGGCTACAGCAAAATGGAGAAAACACGTAAAGCATTAAACTTTGAGATTAAGGTTCAAAAACACACGTGGGCTCAATTATAGGAAAGAAAAAAGAAAAAGACGCCAACATCCATAGTTTTTATTCTGGTGAACGGCACAAATAATTGATCAGTGCAAGGAGAACCGGCGAGTGTGAGATTAGGTCAATATAAATCAGAAATATAAAGAAGAAGAGATAATCATGATCATGTAAGTTAAAAGCAAAAATTGAATGTCTATCCAAAATGTCACAGGAATACAAAATAAATGTGTGCGCACTTTACTGAAGAAAAAAAGTACAGGTATATAAAGTAAGAAACAGGAACATTGTTACTGCATGTGTTTTCAGCAAGTAAAAAATGAATGTCAAAGATACAAACCTCAATGATAAATCGTTTTTTCAAAGGTAAAAACGAGATCGGAAATCCAAGTGGCTACAATGTTTATTTTGACATTTACATTGCATACAGTAGGTACTGTTCATTGTTCATAGAATTGTCATTATTAGTTAGTAACATCATAATAACATTCCCTAAGAACCACAGCATTAAAATTCTAGAATTAATTAAGTAATAGAAATCAAAGAAAAACACACTAATGGCATAAAACTTTTAATTGCTTTGATTAAGGATGATCTTCACTGATTTGACCAAAAAAACAAATAGATCTTATAAAGAGAAAGTCAGTATATATATATATTTTGGCTTCTTAGAAAGTATGTATGGTAGCCAGGCAACCAATGTAAATGTAGGTCCAACTGGCACCATGATCTAATTGTGGACCAAAAATAAATAAGTAAATAATGTAAGTATGGAAAACTTGGCAAAATACAATCACACAGATGTGACACATGATCGACCCTTTAATGAGACCCCTATGTTTCCTCATTAAAAATAAACAGTTATTTAGGGAGGCCACAAATGTGAAATCTAATTTAGCTTTGATAAGGCATAATTGCGGCTTTATACTATGAACAGTTTCACAGACTAAGTGAAAATCAGATGTACAAGATTTAACAACTGTGCTGCTGTAGTGTTGGCCATGCTAATGACTTTCTTTTCTCTAAAACACACACTTGACCAGTAAGGTATTCTTACAATGTCATTGCTTTGGCAGCTCCTGTTATTTAAATCAGTGCCGCAAGTCAGTAACATGACCTTCAATAGAGACCATACGGTATGCCTTTTCCATTTGTTTTTTTAAACTTAAGGTGAGCTTCTTTTTTCCCTGTTCTACAAAGACACCCATGTAGCCAATGTAACAATATTTTTTCATTTGCAATATGATCCTTTCATGAAACCAGCTGCAGTGGTCTTAACTAGTCATTTTAATAACAATAGACCTTCATGCCTTTAATACACAAACAAATCACTTCACAGTCTGTGAAAGATTTTAATATAACCGATATGTGACCCCAGTACGCAGGAACCGAAGTCACCTTTGCCACAAAGCAATTTTAAATTGGAACTGCAATGCTGTTTTTATATTGCAAGGTAAGAAAGAATTGGCATTAATGAGTGCCTTTCAAACCACAACGAAAGTAAAATGTGCACAGTAACATGTAAAAGTTCCAACTTACAAATCACAAAATAACCAATTTCCAGGCTTACTCAGCACCATATTGCTGTCATTGTCTGTGATTCAGAACGAGGCAACAAAACTTCCAGTGACGTGATGCAGCCCTATTACATTGCAAACAATTAGGCTTGTAAATCCATCACTTTAAATCCCATGGAAAATTGCTCTCTGCTTCGAGACGGTTTTGCCTACAAATACTATTCATTAACTTGGCTAGCAGGTCACGTTGGAACATTTCTGCGGTGAAATGTCTGCTTGCACGACCTGTAGTTTTTCGCCCATACAGTACATCACATTGCATTAGTCATTACAATGACTAGTGAGCAGGAAGGGCAAGTTTAAGTCTCGCAAAGTCTCACTTTCACCCGTGGTGAGATCGGCAGTTTGCGATAACATGGTGACCATATGGTACTTTCACAACGTTTATGGTTTTGTGCTTGATTCAGGGTTTGTGAAAATTTTTGATACCATCAATTAATTTATTATGTTGCCATGATTTAAAAAACTAGTCTCAGGAATTGAGACTGCGGTTCCCCTTTAGTGGTGGTAGGACCCTGATTCCTTTATCCATGCATCAGATATTTCTTCTAGAACCAGCAGTCCTTTTTGTTACTCAAGAAATTACATTTTATCAGTATCTTACCATAAAATGAACACAAGAGCAGAAGAGTATCAACTCAAAAACACATCAGGTTTGCAGTCCACAGTAACCAAAAACAAATGTCCCAAAAAAGAGAAATCCAGCAGCATTCTCCTGAATCAACTGAGTCCCGGGATCCTGGCAGGTCTCTTTCCACCACAGCAAAGAAAGAGACCAAATTCAATTATTTAATTATTTGTAGCCTCCCGATCAGTTCTGTCTGTCCCAAACCGTTCGTTGTGCTCCCCAGTAAGAGGGCAACTGGATCAGGAGTGCCAGTTAAGGGGTTATTCCACCAGAGGGCACTGGTGAGACATTCCAGATCCATACAGGGATGTGGTAGGATAACATGCATGAGAGTATGTGAGAACAGACTCCTTGTATAAGGTCAGGGGAGAAATCAGTCCAAGTTGACTCACTGCCTGGTGGAGCAGCTAGTAACAGAGTCTTCCGGGGAGGCTCCTGAAGCTCAGCTCACGGGAAGCTAAACCAAGCCGGGTCTCGCGGTGAGATGCCGGACAGATAACATTCTCACTATCATGAGGACGGGGACACGCCGCTTCTCGCGGTGGGGCACTGGGATGTCATCCAGCCCCTGAAGGGGCAGGTAACAGCACAGTCCCAGAGGGGACTGAGTGATGTGATGGACAGCCTTGTCTATAGAGAGAGAGAAAAGTTTCCTCACACTTGGCTACCATCCAAGGGGGATCTGTTACACCCCCCAACCTATTTCTCCTCAGCAAATACTTGGGAAGGGGAACAAGATGATGTCTGAGTTTTTCCCTGGTGCTCTCTGTTCAATTCAATTCAATTTATTTTTATATAGCACCTTTCACAACAAGGTTGCCCCAAGGCACTTAACAAGGCAAGTGATCATACATGTTGTGAATACAGAACAGAAAATACCAGAAGACAACGGAGGAGGAGAACCAAAAACTCCTTAGTAAGGAGGAAAAAAAACCTCTAGGGGTCTACGGTCAACTGGCTGCCCAACCCCTTTGGGCATGCTAACATTATACAATTAAAAAAAGGAATAAATGAATGAGGGTATTAATCCATCCATCATGTCTTCTGTATGTCAGTATTCCATGCACATCTCTGTAGACCAGAAAAGGCTTCCTAAACGATAGCTACAGTACTGTATATCCAAGATGTCCCTCTGTTGAGTTCCTCTTCATCTCTGAGTCCTTCTGTGTCTTGTCCTCGGTGTTGTGTTTACCCACCTCTGCCACTGGCAAAAGATTTTGTACCCCTCTTTCTGGCCAGACCTCCAAGACTTGAATGACCTCACTAATGGGTACAGTAGACCAGGTGTTACAGTACTTTGTCCCCTTTTTCCTTTCTCCTTTGTCCAGGATTGTCCCAGCCTGCTCAGTAACCCCATAGAGACTAATGCATCACTACTGTATAGTAACTGAGTTCCATCTGGGCCAACAGTGTGTCGATCAATTGTTGCTGATTGGCACCTGCCCTACTAGTTGCACTAGTGTAGCTTGGAGACCTGGGTTGAAGTCAGAAGGCAGGCACACAAACAGATAAAACACACCAAACCTGACAAAATACTGGCCATTATATCATCTTTACAGTCAAAGTAGACCCCCAAACGACTGCCCTAAAAACACGTTTATCACTCTGTGGCATTAACACACGTCTTTTTTTCTCTCTTTCGTCTTCTTTTGTCCTCTCTAGTTTTTGAGGAGCCTGAAGATCCCAGTAACCGGTCCTTCTTCTCCGAGATAATTTCCTCAATCTCCGATGTCAAATTCAGTCACAGCGGACGTTACTTGTTAACAAGAGATTACCTCACTGTCAAAGTCTGGGACCTGAACATGGAAAACAAACCTATAGAAACGTATCAGGTAATGTAAAGCACTCTCTTCTTCTGCCGTTTACGATCACAGAGTGTCAGGGAAAAATGAAGATATAATAAAACACATATTTCAATTTATCAGCACTCAAGAATGAGTGCAGGAATTTCTCACTAGGTGAGAAAGAGTGAAGCTGTTAAATACATGGTGAAATTCTGAAGCAAATGGCACCCATTCATCTTTAGATTTTCATTAACTGGTACACTGGATTAGGAGCAAAGCCTTAAAAATTGATTAAAAATGGAGAACGTACTGTGTGTGTTATTTACTTTTTCACTGTTGTGTAATGGTATTCTTATTTGCACAGTTTCTTTCTTATGAAGCGTCTCTTCATTCTAAAATCTATAGATGTGTTACAGTCTAGGAAAAGTGAGATGTGTAGTAAAAAACTGCAGAAGTGAAATGCATACAGTAGACCATATCTGTCCTATCACTTATTTCCCTCACATGGTTACGTGTGTTGGTGTGTACATCAGAAGATCTTTATTCAGTAGCGCATCCCTAGTGCAGTCTTGCTACCGTCGGCACTGTGAATAAGAAACAGAACGTACTCAGGCACCATGGGAGCTATTTTTAGCTTCAGTGGTGAAAAAATCACCTTGCCATGCAGCCCAAGAAGGACTGCATTGCAGTACAGCTGTAATTTGGATAACAGCAGCAGCTCAGTAATATCAATTATATTTCATTTAGCATGTTCTTTGTTATTGTTGGATATGCATAAGCCATATAAAGACTGATTTTTAAAATGAGTTAGGTGGTTACTAGGAATTCTTTTTAATTTCTTTCACTATTGTCTCTAACCCTCCTCAGTTTTGTGCAAAATTGCCAACTGAATTCTGTATATAAATGTTTTATTACAGTTTTATGAGCACATTTATTATTATACATTTAGGATATAAGGATTATAAGCAGAAATGTGTACCTACAAATTTTGACTTCTGATACCAAATTACTTTTATTTCTTAATTTTAGATGACAAATGTTAAAATGTAAAAATCACTAATTTGCAAAGTATGTAGACACGTAATCCAAAAAGACAAGTGTCTGTAATTGCTGCCAAAGGTGCTTCCACCACATATTGAGTTAATGGATCTCACAGCATCTGCATATCCACATACACAGTACTTCAGTTTTTTTTTCCTTCAGTTGTTTCCGACACTAACTGTAACTTATCTTTACCTTAAATGTCTTCAGTTGGAGCATTCTGAATTTGAGCAAAGATATTAAGTTTAAAAAAATGCAAATGCGGTATTTTGTCATTTCACAAATGATAGAAATCATAGAAAGTGTCTGGATACTTTTGCAAGGCACTGGATCTGGATATAATGAAAATAAACACAGCCTAGAGTAATATTTAGCCCTGGTGAGCACTGAAGTGGGGCTATTGTTTCATGTCCTCACTGCGGATCCTGCTGTAGTATTACTGAGCTTTGCCCCTTTGGACTCAGCCTTATACAGTAATTGAGTTATAGCATTCACTGGCAGTTTAGCCAACAGTAGTCTGCTGAACTTGGGACTGCTGAGCCTTTCGCCCTATTGGCAAGAATGTGGTTTTGAAGAACAAAATTAACAATACAGTTTTCTTCAATTCAAAGAAATCCAGCAATGTTTTAAATGTGAATATAGTATATGTACAGAACACTATATATAAATATATTTATTTTCCACACATGCTAAACTATAAATGGTACCAAGAGCAAAAGAAATCCCGATGCATCAAAAACATGTTTTAATAAGTTAAGGTTGACAAGATTGATTAGTGGGTTGATTTGCTGAGCACTAATAAGCTGTTTGTAGCACCCATGATCGTATCATATTTGAGTGGTACGCTTCTTTCCATGCAAATAAATGATGATCTGTAAGGTTGAGAGGGCAAGGGCCACCTCTATCATACTTTTTATTATAATACTTTTTATTAAGGGAATTATTTTATCCATGAAATGGCCTGACCCGATTTATCTAAAACTAGTGGCAGAGGATAAAATCACTCTTTTTCTCTCTCAAAGACATGAGTGACAGAAATAATTATTTAGAATTATCGAAGCAATGTGATACAGTTGAAAGTCAAAATGTTTTACAACTTTTAATATGGGGGCAAAAAGTGCTTTTGTGAACTGGGGTGCCAGCACTGCTAATCCACACCCCTTTCTGAGTAACACCACAGCTTTTATGCAGAAATGAGTCGTGCACAGTGCTTAATTTTTTTTTACTTTACATTTTGTAATATGGTGGAGTGACAACATAGTAAAACATCACAAATATCTTTACTATTATCAAGGACTAACCAAGAATGTCTAAATTGCAGTGTGGGGATCTGGACAGAGTATATCCTGTTCTTCTCTGAAGAGTGCAGAGAAATTCATCCATTGAAATCCAGTATGCTGATAATGTTTTAAGGGAAGTAGTTTTGCTAGAAACAGGCCAGTAGCCTGAAATAAATAATATTAATACTATATTGTGGCCTGTAGCTATACAGCATATTGTACACAAAAGTAAGATATTGTATAATTGTTCCTGCTGTTTCTGTACTATTGTCACTGATATCCTGCTTTTGCTGTCTGTATAGATGTGCCCCACTACTTTGAGAAACAGCACCAAAAAATAAAAAAAACCTTTCAGGCAGACTATAAAGATCTTGGCACGGGCACAGTTAAACTAAGAACTAAGCTCTGGACTCCTCAGTGGTTCAGTGAGCTGAGTGTAGTAAAGTTTGTCTCATTACCTCACATGAAGTTTGGATGTATTCTTATCACATTTGTTCTTCTAAAGCCATGGTTCTTAAAATATGATGCGAGATGTGCAATATGTCTTTTAGAAGGTAAATCAATTTAAAAAAACGAATTAAAAACAGGCAATATAAGTACAGCTACTTTGTTTCATCAAACCTACTGTAGGTATTTTAAGGTAAACATAAAAGGTGTCATTTTCCTTGTAGTCGTAATTGTACTGAAAGAAATGTATAATTCAGTCTTTCATTCTAAAGTTGTGATATGTCTTAGGTTTAAAGAACTGATTGCAGGTTGCAGTAAAGGTTTTTGCGGTCCAATTATCCAACTGGTTAATTCACAAGGAGAAAAAGTCAGAAAAGATTGCTGGAATGTCAAGGAGTACTTAAAATGATTAATATCACAATACACATGAATTAGAATAATACATATCTAAGAGCAGTGGTTTGTTTGTTTAAACTGTTTTACCAATGGCTGATGGTATTAGAATGTTAACCCTTTTTATCTTCAGACTGTGTGTAACCCTTTCTAAACATGATTATATGGAACTCATACCCACCCCCAATGTACTGTCAGCGCTTTTTTTTTCTCATATTTTTGACAGTGTCTAGATGTGGCTAAATTTGGGAGACTGGTTTCCTCTCCTTTCCCCATTATTCTGACCAGGAATATGCCTGGGTATTGCCTAGCACTCTTGTTAAATGCCAACTCTAACAGTGGCCTGGAAGAAGACAATAGAAGCATGAAGCTCTGCTGCTGATGTCCCGTATTAGTCTTTATTGTGCTGTTCTTCTGCCGTGGCATGTTGCATTTATGTTGATTTTATTGTAATTTGACAAAATTACACTGAATAAAAAAATGTACATGACAAATGAATACATCCCCATAAATCAGGCAGCTCTTGAGATCTACTAGAATGGTACAATTAATGATTTTGTTGTTTTCCAAAGGAAGAAGCTTGATTTTGTGCATCATCCTGCTGTCCAATTATTGCTTTTTTGAGGGTATAATTATAAATATAGCTAAAACAAACCAATTTATTGAAGATGCATGCATAGATGTTTTGTTTCAATAAAAAAAGCATTAGACATTGGAAAGCTAATGCAGTTTTAATTTGCATTTTCCTTTCCAAAGTTCATACAAGCTAAGTTAATACTAATGTACAATAATGCTTGATTTCATATTGCTTTTTAAGATTGGGAACATTCGGGTAATATTAAAGAAGAATATAATTTTAATGTAGACCTTGTTCTTAATTATAATTAAGGGTTTATTTTTTTTTGTATAGGTTCATGATTACCTCCGGAGCAAGCTTTGTTCCTTGTATGAGAATGACTGCATCTTTGACAAGTTTGAATGTGCGTGGAATGGTACAGATAGGTAAGTCATCCTCTGTCTCTTAGAAGAAAATAAATGTTCTTCAGTTTTTCTCCTAGTTGGGGAAACGAAATAAGGGAGAAGGTCTTCGTTTATAAAATGCAGAAGCTATCATGGTCTAATGATTTCATTTTCACGTTGAATATTTTTTGCATGAAGATGTTTTTTAATTGATTTTTTTTAGCTTTCCTTTATGATCTTATAGTTAAATTTAATGTTCTCATTACTGAAGAGTGAGTTTTTATTTCAGGAAGCAAATACCACACTAAATGCAGTTTGCAAAATGGCGCTATTTATCATATCATTACGTTACTTGAAAAATACATAAAAAACATGAATACATGTGCATTCATCAAAACATCCAACTATTGTGGTGTTACTTGTCACCTTGTCATTTCCACCTCAAAATGTCCATGGATGCTGAATATTCAGAGTAGAAAAACCCAGGTGTTTTTCTAATATAAAGTGAGCAACAACAAAATGTTTTTATAGTCATCTGGAGAACAAATCGAATCATACATTTCCAGTGGGAATGCTAGCTGAGGAAACAATTTATGCTTTTAATAAAGACAGCAAATATTGCCATAAATATGTAGTTCCAGTGTATGTTATGTCTGTTGAGATTTGATAATAGGCAACTGTTTAAAATTTCAGATGATAAAATTTTACACAGAAGAAAAATAGGTTCATTTTCTGTAACTTAGTGGGGGGAAAAATACAAAGCAAAAGACAGCATACAGAATTCACTGGTGAATATTTTGGTACAGTAGATAGGAAGAAAATATAATGTTAGCAAAATCTGCATTTGGCTTTGGGATTGCAGCAGCGTGGCTCCATGAATTAATCAAAACCTTTGATTTCTGCAATCTTATATGTTGGTTTTCAAATGAGCAAGTAGCCGTCTTGTTTAATCATCCCATGTGGACTGTTCATTCAGGCAGTATTATCCCTTATTATCACTCATCAGATTAATATCCATGAAATAGTGGATATGAATCCCTGTCAGCACACTCCAGCCAAGAGGGTGTAGCATGGCTATATAGAGCATTAACACACTTGTTAATCTATCACCTGGCATCTATTATTCCAAGCAATATTTTGGTGATGTGTAAAATCCTAGTATAATGGGTTCAAATATTAAATAAAATGAGATAAGACGCTGCAATATGTAATATGAAAAGCATTTTAAAAATTCATTGAAGAAGTTGGATATCACTGGAGCTGAGATTACCTCAGGGGAAGAAAAAGGTATATAAGCTAGTTTTCAGATGGGACCTTCAGTGATCTGGGCACAGACAGCAATAATAATAAAAAAAAATCTGTAGTAAATGAATCCGTGCTTCCTTAAGACTGGTGTGTGATTGATGGCAAGACCCTATAATCTGAACAGACTAAACCTGATCAGAGGGAGCACATCACCTCACTGTGTGCTTCGAACAGATTAATGCAAGCAATTGACTGACTTGGCAATTCTGAAAGAAATGCTTACCATACGGTATATACAGTATGTGTGTCCAGGCATATCATGTAGTTTTGCATACCTCTTCTTAACCAACATTTATCCACTCTCTGCTCAGCAGTAGGTATGTTTTTTTTTCCTTTGTTTCATTCTTAAAACAAGGCAATAAATAAATACTCCCCTTTTCAGTCAAAAAGGCTGATAATGGCAGAAACTCTTTGACCTCTATAAGGTCTGTTAGGTTGAGCATCTACAGCAATTCTGGAGATTGTAAATGTTAGAAGGATAATAACATATTTTGTGACTACTACTAAACCTATACAATTTTAATGGTGCTTGAGGTATTGCTCAATATATACGTGACCTTTTCCCATATACTGTTGGCTCTTTTCATAAGAGAACATAAGAAGGTTGATGAACTGAGGTTAATGATCTCTTCCTAGGTTCTCATGCAGGCATTTTCATTTGATTTTATTGTGCTTGTCGCCCTTGTGAATTTTAAAGAACCTGTATCCGCAGAGTATTTCTCGAGAGAAACTCCCTCTGTCCTGGAGTGTCTTAAAACATGGTGTTGTTACGTCCCAGTGTGTGTTCTGTGTGTGTTTTTTTCTGTTATGTCCACACTACTGACCCTTGATTTTTCTCCCTTCCCCATTTGCCCACCATTACACCACACTTTCAGTATGACGTCATCATCAATTAGTTCTCAGCCAATCAGAACACATCTTATTCAGCATATAACATGGAGGTTTTCAGCAAGGAGAGGCCTTTCGTTTGACTTCGGTCCCGTTTGGTTTTGGTTATCGCGTCGCTTCGCTTTTGGTTATTGGTTTGGCTTCGTTGGTTTGTTTTGTTTTGCTTTGTGTACGTGTGTATTTTCGTATAGTTTCGGCTTTGTTGTTTTGTTGGTTTTCTGTTAATTTCTTTGTACTTTCGTTTGTTTGTGTGTTTATCCTTGTTTTGCCATTACCTTGCCCCAGTGCTACATGTTCAACTTTTGTGTTCTTTTGTACCCTGCTCCTGTTGATTACTCTTGTTTCCCTTAAGGTATTCCTGGTTCACTTCTGTTTTTGTGTGAACTTTTGTATATAAGGTTAGTTTATGTTATTGGGTACACTTTACACACTTAGTTTTCTATTTCTACTTTCTATTAGTAACACTAGGTTAGTACGGGTGAGTGCCGTTTGTCTTGTATGGTTTTGGGTAGTCAGGGGAGGTTAGTTAGGGTGTTGAAGATGCCAAAGACCGTGTGTTTCGGTTTTCTTTTGTAGTCAGATTAGCTTTCCCCCACTTTCCTAGCCAGCTCCATTTTGTTTGTTATTTTCTTTTCTTTGGCACAACTCTAGTTCCTAACCCTTGTTATCACGCTTCCTGGTCCCTCACCAAAACCCACCTGCTTCCAAAAGAATTATCCTAAATGTTACACCCCTTTACCCCTAGACACCTGGGGTCGTAACAGGTGTAAATAGTGAGTGCAAGTGAGCAGCCAGCCAGTCAGGTATCAAAACTCAACAGTGCTTCTGTTTCTGAAAAATGAAAAACACATTTTTGGTTTTAATTCTCTGGCACGTCTTGGTGATGAATGATACAGTACAAAGCTAAACGGCAAAAGTCTTGAGTTTGTTTTTTGTTTTCATTCAAATATGTATTTACTCGTTAGATTGCATTTTGTTTTGTGCTTTGATACCAGGGCCGTGATACCGTTTCAAATGTGGTCTTTCAGAAAGTTTTGATTTATACCATATATGCAGCCTGTGTACAGTATGTAGTCTGTTTTGTTTCCATGGTATTCCACCTAGAGACTGGGTACAGGTTACGTAATAAAAGTACCAGATCAAAGATCTGGTGAAACATGCAGATTTTTTTTTCCCATGGCAATTACAATATACAGTGTAGAGAGAGTACTGAAAGCAATTTCCAAATACTGTAGCGTATACACATTTGTATATCTCGGCATTACCTTTATTTCTTTTCAAGGTGAAAGCCAAAGGCTGTACACCAATCATTTGCATATGCATCGTCTGTATACTTTGCGATGGTCCAAAGTGTGTGTACTGGGGAAACAAAATGAGTTTGCATTTGGAATTGGTTACAGAACCCATGATAACTCTTATTTGGCACAGTGAAACAAGTAGATTGTCAGGGAAGTAATTCCCTCATGGGTTTCTCATAACATTCATATTGAAATCATAACTTTCCATTTTAAAAGACTTCATATTCAGGCCTAATTTAGTCTCATCAAGCATTTCTTTAATCCTTGCTTTATTTATGTGTGCTTGTAGAGTGCTCAGATACTGTACAATTTGCTTTTATTTACCAACCGTTGAAGTCGTTGAAATCATCTGACGAAAATCATGATTGTCGTTGGAAACCTATAGTCTATTATTTAAAACAATCCAACGTAGATTCACAGATTTATAGAGTATTATTAATTTACTAACATTTTTAAAGCTCCTGAATTGGTATGATTTGTGAAGGATGCAGCAGTAGGACTTCCTAGAGCAATCATGTATGATTTTTGCATTAATCCCACTGCTTTCCTTTGCTTAACTTGAGCAGAAACCTTTGAGTGCGGCTTGTCTGGACATGAAGACACAGATGTGACAAGTATCAAGTGTCCTCACAATTATGGATCTTTAGATCAGCTTTGAATTACGGAAGCTGAAGTCCACTTTATTGCTTTTTTGAGGGCGGTATTTTATTTTTATTTTTATTTTACAATAATAAAAATTCCACATAACACAGTATGTTACTCTTTGAGACTAATCATACATTGGGACTTGAAGGCGATTTAGGAAAAAAAAGTGTGTTGAGGGGGGGGGCGGGGAAAGCAGGTACTGTGGTAGTTACTTTGCCAACAGAACATGAAAAGTGCGCATCATTGTGTGCTTATCCAGCTGCATCTTGTGCTGAACAAGCATGTTACTCATTCATCAGCCATGCTTCCTGCCCCAGAGATATCATTGTCCTGACAGCCCTGAGGTGAAACATGACAGCCCACTCCTGCAGCACAGCTTTAGTATACCTGCAGTCTACCCTGGCAAAATCAAAGTAATGGAAAGAATAAGGCCTCTGGCAAAGAATATGATAGGCAAAATGACCATGAAGACCTCTTTGATAAATATATTTTTTTAACGTATAACAACAATTGGGGAAATTGCAATTTTCTGTCCACATCTTTTTATCTGATACTGTCAGAGGGAAGAAATTAACCCTCGATCTCACAGTATGGTTGTTTTTAATCTCTGAAAGCCCTATCCCACCTAACAGCAATTTGTTCTCACCTTTCGTACAGAAGATCCTACAGCAGTGGACCCCTCTGTGCCAAAGGAACAAATGTTTGACAAATGTGTCGCAGGAAATGGCGTACATACTTAGTGGGAATTCTAATTGCTTCACTTAAAAGCTAGGGATTCTAATGCTTTGTCCTTTTCGTTCCTTGAGGTACCAACACTAACAATTAAACCCACATGCCATTTTTCAAATTTTCTCTTTATTCATCCCTGTGGGTCAGCCTCTGAGAAAATTAATTATGAATGAGCACTTTATACGAATATTTTATGTGCAAGCCATATTTCATTAACAATCTGTGTAGGATTATTTGGCAGTCAAGCAAAGAATTTGATTTTCTTCCCAATTTTTGAAGCAGCAGTTTAAGTCTGTTTTTCATGTCAACAAAAAGCATCTGTTGTGCTGCAGCTATGAAAGTTAGTTTTGGAGAACACGTTAAAAGATCTGAAAATTAAATATTATACTCTACAGGTGGATAATTGTCCATTATCTATATTCAGTGCAGGACCATAGGGTCTTTCATAATAAAGAGAAAACAAACAGATGAAAGTGATCAGTTCAGGTAACAGGATTTGGTGTACAGGAATCATACATCTGCTATAACACAGGGACAGACAGAGTACATTAGGCACTAGGCTAGTTGCTTTAATACAGAACAGAATCATTGCTTAATCCTCAGCATCCTCCAGTAAACAAGATTTTTTTTATTTTCTTTATTCTATACAAACAAATTGGAGCTTTATTCTGCAGAGTGGATTGGAAGCATGCTTTCTTTATCCATTGTCTGGTTTGTATAAATGATTCCCCCTTGCTGAATAAATCATTTCCTTTGGAAAAACAGGGGTGACTTTGTGTTGTGTATTGAAAGACATTTCTGAAATTCTGGAAAGACAGGGAGATTCATTAAATGTTTATCTCAGAGCTGATCCCGGGAGAAACTCGAGTAACGATTTCCCGGTGAGGATTTATGACAAGCACATGATCTGTTGACAAGACCGTGACAGGTGTAATGCCTCACAGCCAGAGATTTTTACCCCTAATCCTGGTCAAGCACTATTTAAATCACTTTGGGGAGGTGGAGGGGGGGGGCGTGCACTTAAGGGTTTTGATTGATGTAAGGTTGAAAATGGGTGGAAGTGTGATAAAGAAGCTGAAGAACAGTGTGGTGTAGTGTCCTTCAATTTTCAAATCAAGACTGATCCCTGAAAGATGTTTCTCATTGAATTGGATAAAACAAAGAATATAGTTACCTTTAGAAGTAATTACAGGACTTTCAATGTGAAATTTGTGTTTGAATAATGTCTACTCAAGTGCAATTTACAACTGTGCTGACAAAGGACTGCTCAGGATCTCCTTATCTGGTAGTACATTTGATATACCATGCAGGGTAAGCAATTGTTAGAAATGAAAGATTTAAAGCTGATGGAGTGTAGGATTTTTAGGTATCTGGCAGACTTCTAAGAGATTGTTTGGAATTATCGTAATCCAAAATTATACATTCGCCTCTGTATCATACCTTTCGAGTTTTTAATGAAAATTAAAAATCACTGTAAAGAAAAGGGTTCTTCAATCTGAAGACCTTTGATTAATCTAAAGGAACCTATGAAAGCCATGAAATTAGTCTGATCCTTTGGTAAAAGAGACATGTGGTTATTAATTAGTGTTTTATTAGACCTGCAGTGAATTTTACAAATGTACTGTTTCAATTGTGAAGGCACACAGTGCCTGGGGGCAAATAGCATTGATAAATAGTGAATGAGCTGCATAAAATACGATGTGGTCTTATTAAAAATAATTAGCATACCTGTGCAGGAATACTCTCTGGGTATGATGCCTGTATAGTTTATCTTTGTTACGAGTCTAGAAATGCATTTGGCAAAAGAACATCTCATAGTGCACAGTTCTCATCACATCTGCACTGAATGCTTTTAATAGTTCTCAAAAAGCATAAATCATTAAGCTCTCACTCTCTGAAGCCCAATGGCTGAGCTGTGCCTCCTTATTCTATGAAACTGTGCCAAAATTAAGCAAGACTGGTGCTCACAGCAACACTGCACAAGGGGAAATATGTAGTATCTATGGCAATAAAAGGCTGTGTTTAAGGATGTTGCCCTATTAAAGGAATTTGGCACAAGAAGGTGTAGATTATTATATCCATAACTTAAAACCTTTTGCTTTGTCCCTTTACTGAGGCATAACAATTATTGGATGAAAACTCCAGTCACCTTTTCACAAGCTATTCAACAGCAAACTGAGAAATGGGTAGAGGCAGCTGTGATAAGGAGTACCAGAGAGTCAGCTATTTAGCAACCTTTTTATTCTTTTCATCTGCCAAATGAAATGTTCTAAAGTTTCTGGCAAACTCTACCAGTTGACACAGTTACCAAAAATGATTTGTGCTCCAAATGTAAAGTAATGTAGAAATTTCCAGTTCTCTTTTTAGAAATGTTATCTTGTTTTTCTAAAGTCTTTAGTTTAACTCTTCATTGCACTGCTGCTTTGAAGAGCAATTCTCTTTTTCTACATTAAAAAAAAAACATGTTTCTTGAATGTTCTTTGGTAAAGTAAAAGCCACATATAAACTGATAGTATTTGCATTTTTAAAGTGGATTTTCACCACTTATTGCAAATTATTCAACACTCACTGATTCATCTGAAACAGTATAAAATTGTATGCTTTTAGGAAAATGTCGAGCTCCTTATCGTCGTTGTTGCAGCATGTTATCATGAGCATTATACAGTATGATAATGTGTGACAGTTTATTAACAAATAAGTAATTTTTTAAGACCGCTGCAATAGTGCAGCTACACGCACAGAGAGAGAATGTGCTTTTGAAATATTTGTGGCAGAAGCATGAGGTCACAAGACACCTGCAGGGATCCCAGTGGGAAATACAGGAATACACTTAACTGACCCAGACTCTGCCAACAGCATGTACTGATCTGAAAGCAAGATTGAACATTTTAGAGGAACTTCTTTACAGATCCCTTCAGCACAGCAATCATTAACAGTATATGATTTACGTTTGATCATAATCTCAGAGCGCACGTTTAATGCTGATCACGCATTGGGACTTGTGCTTTTCCATAAGAATAAGAGAAGGGTTACAAACAAGAGAAGGCCTCTTGGGTTGTTAGCATCTAATTGATCAAAGGATCTCATCCAACCATTTCTTGAGAGAGGCCAGTGTTTGACTTCAATGACATGGCTGGGTAGCCTGGCTACCTGTGATTATAGACAGACTATAATTCCTGAAACAACCAGGGACCAGCATCATGCAGTGATGTCAGATCTTAATCTAATGGAGTACATGCGAGACAAGTACAGTAGACGCATAAATCAAAGTTAACCAGCCAGATAACATCACAGATCTGGCGGCAGCTTTTTCCTAACATTGCTTCCTGTGTATTCCAGCACATATACAGTACTTGTGTTGAGCTAACATTTGATAAACCTGGTACTTAGACATTACATTGTTATTCCTTGCTTGAATGCACCATGTGTCCCATAACATGCATGACATTCAGTTTATTCAGAAACATGTTTACAAATGGTGAAAAAATGATTATCCCTTCTGATGTTTGTATGTAGTCTGTGGTAATATATATGCTGTATATAGTAATAGTAAGCCCCTCTTAAAATTCAAGAAGAGAAATTACTTCATTACTGTACCATTGCAATTGCAGAGTATTGACAGAAATGTTCAGAGCTGCTTCATGGGTAAAGTGTAGTAAAGGTCTGTAGTTTGGAGTTCTGAAATATGAATTTTATAGGGAAAGTGGAAAATGCATTTTTTCTTAACTAAGCTTCAAAAAATACATTTAAATGCAAAGTGACAGTATTTGTAAATGTAGACCTGTGCATGCACCTTGTTGTTTATATGTTTGACTAAACTCTGCACTGCACGAGTCCAGAGTTTTGCTATGTGTGAATGAATGGTGCTGTCCCCGGGGGTCCTGATGAAAATGAGGCTATCCTGTTGGCAACATTTTTAATGATTGTTTTTTAAAAATGGAGTTCATAGCACAAGGAAGGGAAATAGCTGATCCCCACACCTGCCAACCACTTCAATCCAGAATATAAAATCAGAACTTTCCTGCGGCAAGCATTTGGCCCATTTTATGCATGGGTTTGGACTGCCTCTTCAACAAAACTCATGTTTCAAGTCCAAACACAATCTCAGATCTTCAGTTTATTAATTACAGACTTGCTGGGGGGTATTCTCAGTTACTTCGATAGTATCATCAGCTGAAACCTGTTTTTCAGTTTTTATCCTTTCTTTGTGATGGATAAAGTTTAAGGTTTATATGTTGTGCTACAACCGATGTGTACATAGAACATGCTACGTTTTTTTTTTCTAAAACTCCCAGAGTGGCTGATCTCTTTTCGGTTACTCTTATTTTAGCAAATTCCAGTATTACTAAGCAGCAGAATATTGTAATTTTGCACCAGAGGGACAAAAACGGTTGCATCAAGGTTTAATTAGCAAATGATTAAGAAAACTTTGCCCAGAATTCTGGATGCTCTAAATTAGTTGTCTTACAAACGCTGTTGAAATTTGCCTCCCCTGCGGTTATGATGCGTTTGGCAAGCCCTATGTCTCAGAAACTGGCAGCATTTGTAACGGTTCCCTCATTTATCTTTCTCTGTGTACTCAGTACTCCTTCTTCTTCTTCCTCCCCCTCAGTGTCATTATGACAGGCGCCTACAATAACTTCTTTCGGATGTTCGACCGCAACACAAAGCGGGACGTGACTCTGGAAGCGTCGCGGGAAAGCAGCAAACCCCGGGCAGTGCTGAAGCCCCGCCGCGTCTGCACGGGGGGCAAGCGCCGCAAGGACGACATTAGCGTGGACAGTTTGGACTTCACAAAGAAGATCTTGCACACAGCCTGGCACCCGGCAGAGAACATCATTGCCATCGCAGCAACAAACAATCTGTACATATTTCAGGATAAAGTCAACTCAGAGGTGCACTAGAGTCCTGGGTGCCTCGCCCTGCAGTGGGCCGCTCTTGAGCGCTGTACTGTACCTGCTGATAGCCTTGCGCGAGGGTGTATTCATTGTGTTGGAATTGTGGATTGTGGTTGATCACTAGTGTTTGTTGCTATTGGTAGTTTTGGGCTTGTATAAGCCAGCAGGGATGTGCTAACTAACCTCTTGCAAACAGGTAGTAGTCATGTAATTTGAGCCACAAACTTTCATTTATGGTTGCTTTTGAGTGGAAAATTTTGCTCGCCAATTGGGACAGTTTCGTATTTCCCCAAAGTTCAGTTCCCTTACCTCATTGGTTAATAATATCAATCTTTCTTTACTCCAGTCAACTCTGTTTTGGGATATTTCTGCGTAGTGTTAGAATTACACCGGGCCATATTTTATCACACTTTTCTACAAACTCGATCTGTTTTTCCTTAGAAAAAATTATAAATTGTTTGCTTCAGAGAAGGCACTGCAAGGTCTTTGATATATTGACCCCCTAGTTTCTTTATTCCAAAGAAATTGCAAAAGCTTTCTGTTTCTTAGGTCATGCTCTCAAGGCAATGGATACAAGGCAATGGAAGAATTATGTTGCAGCTGTTTGTCTGTTTTGACATATTTAAAAAAAAATGAAAATGAAAGAAGCCTACCTTTGAGAATGAGATATTTTGCTTGGTTCCTTAAAACTAGGATTGGTAAAAGCTGATAATTGGGATAACGTCTGGCCAGACCTGTCAGATTGGCCTTCAGGTTAGTTCAGGCTAGTTTTCAGTATCTTCAGAGCCATATCTTTACAGAATAAATTAATGCTTGCCTTGAGTTTAATATGAGGCATGAAGAGGTGGTGTTATTACAATCCCCTTTAAACAGTGAGGTATTTTTTAAGACTTTTGAAATATTTTTTAATATTGTATGGTGGGACGTTTGTTTCTTAAAATGGACTTGAAATATCGTTGATGTAAGATTTGTGAAGCCGATGCAGGTGGGAGTTAATGTTTCTCTTTGTTTGAGAAGTCAGTCAGGTAGAAGAAATGTTATAGTGGTGTTTGTTACAAGTCATTCTGTTTGGCATAAAGTACAGACAGACACAATAGATAAAACCGGTTGCACCAGATAAATATCCCATGCTTTTTCAGATTAAAATGAGAATTATTTATAGTAAGTACATATAGTATACTCCTGCAGGCGTCACCAGAGTAGGTTTTATTTTCTGTTATTTCATTGGAATGATTTGTTAGCACAACAACTGCAGATATTACAGTCAAAGGTTAATGGAAAAGCTGGCAACAAAAGAAGATGGGAATAGAGAGATGTTATATTGATGTACCAGTAGTAGGAATAATCTTTTTGTGGCCAGCAGCAGTAGCTGTAGCAGTTTCAGTTTTATTTGGGGTTTTGCATATAAAATGTACTATTTTTCAGTTTTCTATTATAAATCAAATTGGAGAGGGTTGTAAGGTTTGATAAAAATGGCCTTTAAACCTGTTTTTTTTTTCCAAATTAACAAAGAAATGTGAGAAAAAAGGATATAAAGCCACACAGCAGGATATTCCTACCACTCTTTGAAGACCTGCTCTGGTCTGTTTGAAGTACAACATCAAATCATCCATTTTGTCATTAAGAATCCCTATATTTCATGTTATTCTTTTGATCTACACATTGCCACTGTTTCTTTTGTTAGTGGCCCTTGGTTACTATAAGAGATGCTTCCAAGGATGAGCAACAGGATATACAGTACATTTAAGTATGAGGGTCTTCTCCATTTTCATTATATCTCTGTTCTGAACCCTTTATTGAATCAATCACACAGACATAAAACACATTAATCCCCGTTTTGCTGTGGTGAAAATTGGGAAGCAGCCTATAGCTTTCAATCAATAGAATAAACATAAAGGTTTCAAAAAGGTGTCTGAAAACTGTGGCATCATAGAAGGAAAAGAGAAAAAATGCTTTACATCTTAAATGGAAATGCACTACTGTATGTCTTGGTTCATTGGTGGCTTTAGTGGATAAGATGTGGCACAAGTCTGAATGTATGTTTACCATCTTTTTATGAAATGTATGGTGATAAAAAATAAAACTGGATTTTGGATTCCAGAAGTGAGGGACTATATTTTACAGCAGAGAGAACCATCAACAATGCAATATAGCACTCTTCTAACACGCAGTCTTCACAAGAGTTTTGAATGAGGCAAGATCCACTTCTTACTTGAGAGAATTGACAGTTCTGTGACTGATCTCTGCCTTTCTTCATGATAATTTGCAACAGAGAACATTAGCAATGATGAAGCTGCATGGTAGTAATAATATGTTTTTAGAATTTTGGCTGCCTTTTTTTTAATCCATAAGAACAAGCTGTTCGCTGTAAAATGGCTTGCAGAGTACTCTCAACACGGCACCTGTACCATAAACAACTAATATACTTTTTGTGTTTTGAAGCACAGAAGCATGTTTACCATTGTTCAGTATTACAATGTACATTTATAATGCCTAAAATGTTTTAATCAGCAAAAATAAAAGGGAATGAGGAATGTTTATTAATACTGTACTCAAATACTAAAGAAGGATGAATGGAACTGTGTATATATTGTTAATTCTCTTTACACATTCAATTTTTTTCTGTAAAAAATGAAAATATTTAAAAAGCGGTTTAGGAATGTGGTAAAGTTGTACGTCAAGAAAGTACAATCCCTTCTGAAAACATTGATATCCATGATATGCTGTACTAATTACAGCTTCAGTCGAGTTCAGAGCTTCAAATGAAAACAGCAATCTCGGAAATGGACTCAACAGCCAGAAAATGGACAATAACGGCGATACATCTCAGATTAACCACAGTGTGTCCCAAGGGTAACATGAAGTAATATTACTAATGTACTTTTTTTCCTTCAGTCCAATTACCTCCTTAATGAATGTTCTGTTGTATTCATCATGGTCGTATCCAAATGACATTTGGTATGCAATGACAACTTGGTGGATGCCAGTTAATAGAATTAAAACATCCTCTCATTTGGTTATCCAGTTTTTTAATATTGATTTTGAATTTTGGTCAATATTAATATTGATTTTGCAAGGCCATATAAAAAGCTTTCTGGTCCATTCCTTTCCATTTGAAAATGTTCATCCCACTTTTTCATGATTCAACTTTTGTGTTTGTTTCTTGTATTTTTAGACGACAAGGGTGTCAAATAAATGATTATAAATATGTTAATATGAGTTTTCAAATAAAGATTTCAACAAAATTGCATCCTACAGTTGTGTGGGTATGGAGCCCTTTTATTGAGGTACTGTCTCAGTATTTCAAGAAAAATACATTCTAGGCTGTGTCATATAATTGCCCTTTTCCTAGGTCTTAATTGGAAAGCTGCATACAGTAAGAGAATCTCTTATACGGGCAGGTCTTTGTGCTATTTTTGAAGCTGTTGACTTTGCAGATGGTCAGCTCAATTTCTCTGTCACAGGCAGCATGATGCTTCTCAGATAGCACCACTATTTCTTCAAGATTTTGTATTGTGAAATCCTTTTAAAATGTAAACCAAGAACACAACCCAAAATTTAAATTTTATATTTTTTTTGTAAGGACACACATCCCGGCTGTGTCCTGCCTTGCACCTGTCACTTGCTGAGCCTGGATTGGATGTAAAGTGGTTAGAAAATGGATTAATTATTTGCTTTTCTCTGTTAAGGGTCATGGCAACCCCGAGCTTATCCCAGCAACACAGGGTGCAAGCTAGAGGATGAGAAAACACATTGGATAGGACCAGTCCATTTTTGAGGCCACGCACACAGACACATACTGTACCACATTCAGACATACAGGTACCTTTTAGAGAATGATTATCCACCTGCTTTACTTTTCAGATTCTTATTGCAATCTAATAGTTAAAATGAAACTACAAGAGGAGCCTATTTAAAAACTCATATACAGACAGACTGGCCATTTCAAGAGTATTATATAAAGGAACACTAGGATATAGTTTCTTTTAAATAGAGACTTTGGGAACAAAGGTGCTTCAAGGCACAAAATTGCCTTAAACCTGAAGATGGTTGTTCATCTTTGTGAAGAGGACATTGCCATGGAGACTGGTGGTTAGTTGAGTCTCTTGGTTATGATGAGATGGAAAAAACTTAGTCTGCCAACAAATGTGCTCTTCCATCAAGATAGTATGACAACTCCACTTGGCAGCTTACAAAGACAACTGTGGTGTGACACCGGTGCCTTCAGTTTTGTGTACATTTCTTGGGAGAAAACACTTGAGATTCTCAGATGGTATGTACGGTGCTTGGTATGCTGATTAAATTAACAAGGTTACTTCTGTGATAGTTACCTAGGTTTTAGTTTTAGATCGAGCATACTGTATTATTACCTGTCACAAGCAAGATGTAGCAATTTACTTTCACATAGAATAGAATGTATTTACTACATTCATAGTTTTATCCTTGTTTCATTTTACCCCATAGAAGCCCTAAAAACATACCGAAATGCATCTACCTTTGGGATTAAATACATCTACTGTTGTATGTCGCAGATTTTGGTATAATGTTGAATCCATCTGTCATTTCATCTCCATAATGTGACAATCATTTGGGCTTTAATCATACTGCTTCCAGTGGAAACCTGACTGTATTCTGAGAACTCGGGCATGTAACGGTCAGCCTAAATTAGTATCTGAAAAATCCTAGTTTTGATTAACTATTGCTTTGTGAATGTCTTCACAGACAAAGATAATCAGTAATAGCAGAGCCTACAGATGGTAATTTGTCCTGCAGTCTGCAATGCAATTTGAATAATTCTTAGTATCTTTTAATATTTCAGATGTGACTCACACAGCCTTTCTAGCTGTCAATTAAAAAGAGCTCATGTACACTTTAAACCTGAAATATTTAACATACACTGACTAAACCACAAAGTCCAAAACTGATTCCTTTTTTTTTAATCAAGCTCAAGTTGTATGGAATCCACTTTCTAATTGCTTCTAAAGCAGCAGCAAAAGGCAGAATTTCTAAATTTCTGTGCAGTTAAATATATTCTAATCAGGAAATGTTAGGATGCCACCATGTGGTAGCTTTTCATTACTGACATTAAACATTAACACCATTTGTACTGCTAGATGTTTATATAGAGATTGTCTCAAAACAACTGAGTGACCCTTGGACAACTTACAATTTCTCAGTATTTAGTTGCCTTTGATGAGGGCTTTTTCAACTCTCATTTTGTCTTCAGATTCTGTGCACCTTGTTTATCATAAAGGATGCTTGCTTCCCAAATACAGATTCAGATTTTAAGGTACAGGGATTTTTTTACTCAGTTCTGTCACCTTTCACCTAATACTTCAATGTTCTTGTTGAAGTGTGCTGAAGAACTTAATGTGTTAATCTTAAAAACATTAAGATGTTGTCCATCTTTGTCATGCAATTTATATTCACAATTTACACTACAGGTTCTCCATCATTAAAATGTCATAACTGTAATGAATAAACAAGGTCATGAACCACTCTGTTTTACATGGTCTTTTATTTTTGATTTTCCACAGTTTTGAGTTACAGCAGTGTTGATAAGAGCATCACATCAACAGACAGGGTACACATTTTTAGTACAGCAGTGTTACTAGGCACTTAAACATTGCTGAATTCGGTTACATTTCTTCACACTAGATAAGGTGTCTTTTCATTATATATTAATCACCTGTGAAACAATAACCATAAAGCCAAGCCTTCATGATATAAGCATCACTTATAACTGCCACACCATGTAAATTGTTAGCTGGATAATACAGTATTTAAGTTAACTGGACCAACATTTGTTTTAGCTTAAGATCTGCAGTTTTTGCAGCGGTTCTGTTCTTTCCAATGCTTTTGATTACCTTTAGTTCCATAAATTCACATCAAACACTTGTAAACATACTTTAATTTGAAAGCACAGCACCAATGAAGCAAAGCAAGCTTAGAATGAAAAGGACTGTTTCTCAGGTGTCTGAAGAACAAAAAACACTTCACCCAACCTTGTGTGTAGATCTCCACGAGTCCAGACTTGTACCTATAGACTCCACCAGTGGTGACATGCTTGTCCCAGTTCTGCCACAATCTTAAAGATGTCTTACAACATACAAGTCCAGCAGGGAACCCTGAAAGGCACTGTGGGCAAAGGCACTTCAGTTCTTATGTTTTTCGGACAATTTGAAAGACACCTAAGCCTGTGTTTTTACAGCATTCTGTAACTTTAAATCATCCTCACAAAAAAAGTGTTTTTCATAGCTAACTCATAGTTATTATTAGTGTAAACTGTTCAAGTTTCTTTTTTCATTTTAGTACTTTATTTTATTTCCAACCAATATTTTGCATGCTCTTTAAATGTATAACTTCCTGCAATTAAATTTAGTACCACATTTGAACAAAACTGACTGAAACCTGTTGCTACCAAATCTTAGCATTCTTAATCTGAAAGCACACAAAATACTATAGACTTGTGTCAAGCATGAGTCGATATTGTCAATGCAGACAAAATACAAAGCCACTTAACCAACATGAACCAAAGTTCTATTCACTACGAACCTTCAAACCTCAAACAGTGTACCAGAGGTTACTATCAAAGTATTCCTTTTCACCTTGTTTTTATTTGCCTTTAATAATAGTGGATAGTGATAGTAATAGTGATTTTCCTAAAAATAAAAATAGAACTATTGCATTTACAGTTGCCCTTTAATTCTGGGTGGTTAGAATTAATTCAGATATAATGCATAAAAAAGCATAATTGTTCAGCAAAGGAAACAAAAAAGGCAGCTATGTTTGTTCACCTCAAATGTGCTAAAATAAATGTGTGTTCTACTGTACTAAATCATAAGAATACATCTTCCAGGTCACTATACTGTAGGTCCTAGGATCTCCACTCAAGCAGCACAAAGTGTTTATACAAATAGGGAGTAATTTGACACAACACTGCAACTGGATTTAATATACATATGTACTGTACTGTATACATCCAGCTTCTTAGCAGCATAAAGCACTTGGTTAAAGCCTCAAGCTTAAGGTGGAGTAATGAAAATGGAGACAAAACAGTAGAATAAAGACTACAGCATACAGTATGTTGTTGGATCTAAGTTTCTTGCACTCTTGATTATCTTTCTGGTGATGAATCGTTTGCTGCTGCCTGTAGCGCCAGACTCTGTGAACGAGTCATTTACATCAGTTATCAGTTGTGCAATCTCGTGAAATCCACCGGCTGCTCACCTGAAAATTCTGGAAAGCTGGAAAATACAGAAAAGTCTGTATTTTACCAGTTTGCATACACGAAGCTTGCTAGTAAATGTCAGAAAATGCTTCTGATATTAATAAATCAATTTAGTCATTTCTGTATGGCTTAATAAATTACCTGAAAGATTGTCTCACTAGAAAATTTAAAGTTTACTACTACATCACTGCAATAAAACAAATCCCTGTGCATTAAGTATTTCGATGTAATTCTACTTTAAATTCTTATTGTGTTCTTGTCTCCCTTCTCATTTTCCCTGGTGCATTCTTTGGTACAGCCAATACTATAATCCTCCGAAACAAAAGCTTTGAATATTTTAAATGTTTAAATCACTGGTGAAAGAATGCTTGTGTATATCTCTTAGTAACTGCAGTGGTGAGCTCATGCAAATTTGTGAAGTGCAGTACCATGCAGTATTCACTTTGTGTTTTTACTTATGCCTTTTTACAGTGTCTTGTGTGTGCAGGGTTCATTAGCTCGTAGCTACTTTGTCCACATGATGATATCACGATTTTAATTTTGCAGATAAGAAGGGATCAAAGAAGAAATCAAATGCAAATTTGAAGGCATGCTGCACTGTGCTCCTCCAGTCATGCTCGATTTTATACTGCCTACCTACTGGAGCCAGTTTGGATAAACAGTTCAAGCAGCGAATGGCTTTGAGCTCAAAGACTGGCCATTTGCTGCCAAGGCGTCCCTCTAATACAGTGCTAAACTCCACCATACTCCCTTGTACCAGGTTCAGCAAGACCTTTTTGAACTCATTGCTGGCCTTCAAGACAATGTCTTTAGTTGCATCATCCTCCTCTGAAGTCACATTTCCATTCTTTTTATTGAAAGGCATCCCCACAGTTATCTCAAATTTGTAACGGTCAAACCTTTTGATGTGGCAGATGTGCTTTGCGAGAAACTTCAGCCGACAAAGTTCATCCTCCTCTGCAGTAGCATTCTGTGGGTCACACGTGGGGTAGGCTTCGCCATACAAGCACCTCATCCAATCTCCAACGAAGAAAGGCAACAGGTTGATGACCGACTGCGCCCCATTCTCAATCTCTGTAACTCGCACATACTTGAACCTCCCAGTCCAGGTAACACGATGACCCTCGAGGTGGCTACACAGGATCTGCGTTTGTGCCATGTTCGATTCCTTCCATGCTTGGGGGCCGCATAAAAAGCTGTACTGTTGCCAGGTCAAAGTGGAGTTGTACACTTTCATGCCTTCTGATCTGTACACGTAGATCCAGCAGAAGAGCATGATGGCAGAGATCCAGACCAAGATCAATTTAACAACGGAACTTTTGGACAACGATTTGACCATATCCAGTAAGGAGAAGCTAAACCTGGTCCACCACCGGAGAATAACAGGGATGGCACACACAACCAAGGTGACAACAATCTTGATAACATCTAGAGCAATAAACCACTTCACAAACTGAATGAGAAACATGGCGGCAATCCCCAGCGTTAAGACAGGCAGTGCAAACAAGAAGAGGAAATAGCCAACGGATGTTCGCAGGAGGCCTATTCCGGTCGAGTTCTGAAGAAGCACTACAGAAAACTCACACCACATAAAACACACCATGTAGGGAATCAGAAAGCAGTAAGTGCCTTTAAACTTTCGCAACTGAGCCATCTTGAAAAACAGGTAAAAAAGATACATGTACAGCAGGCAGGGGACACTAACATTCAAAACAACAAAATCGCCAAGGGGAAGGGTGACAAAGGTTTTACCAAAAAAACGAAGAAACGCCAATTTTTCCGGAAGGCCAGCCATTAAGGCACACACCGAAGAAGCTATTTCAGTGAAGAGTGCTCTTCTGGTGTACGGTTCAGCGCAAGAGCTGAGGCCCATGTAACTGGCAATGGTAAAAAAGATGGCAATGGTGGCCAGCTCCGAGCACGGGATCCATTCTTTGTTGGCAACCGGGAAAGAAAATATCACAAAGAAGACTGACAAAATGAAATGAAGGTAAGGCTCTAAATGATTCCACCCAAAGTTCGTCTCGGCTTGCTCTACGTCAAGGTTTGGTTCAAAGCGCGACAGGAGATCTGTGAGAGTTCTGAAGTTATCCCACGCTTTGCTGTTTTGGAAAACCTTCAGGGTGCAGATGATCATCGAAATGAAGGACAGGTAGAAGATAACCAAGGGAATCACAAAGGCAAAAAAGTCAATTGTCAAGTTGCTGATAATGAAGAAGAAAATGAGGGCATTGACGTGGTGCGTGGGAATAATGGTGCTCAGCCAGTGCATTCCAGCCCTGGAGGCCCAGTCAATCAGATGTTCTTTCATTTCTATGACAGCATGAAGTGGATATTTCAGGATCTGCAAAAATGAGAGGGGAAAAGAGTAATGAACAATCTCCTTGTTGTATTACAGAAGACTTCTCCTAAAAAAAAACTGTGGACTAGCAATTTTCAGGCAAGGGCCTGCCATCCCTGGGCTTGGATAGTCATAGAATAGGTCAATGAAAACAGACCTGGAAAGCACATTAACATTTCTTAATTGTGCTCAGGTGGACCAAAAACCAACAGATGCAAGGATTCTCCAGAACCAGGACTGTAGATTGTCTTGAGTTAAGGCATAAACTGGATGAACTCCCAATTTCTTTAATAGCATAAAACATTACTTATACAGAAGTATAAGAATAGCTCTGTAAACAAAGAACCTATGCATATGAAGCATGAAGCTCTACTTCTGTAGATCTGTCTCTATGTACATCTAGACCAAATGAGTTTTTTGAATTTCTGAGAGAGCAGCAACAAAGACAAATTCATGAATATACAAGCAGCTGCATGGATGAAAAACTTCAAAATTCTCATTATGAAAAGTGTCAGTTCTGTGACACAGAAGTTACCTTCACTGTGTGTTTTACGTCTTCCTCTTTGAAATCCAGAGCAGCAAATGTGACACTCCACAGAAACACAAGCTTATTTACAGTGCCAGACCAACTAAGAAACGTCACAATTAATAGAGCCACCTGCAACTGGTCTTTCATCTGTCACAACTTATTACTTCATGCCAGTTTCTTTTCCCTGTCAAAAGCCATCAATCGTGGCTGTAATTTGGCATCATTTAAAGAAGTAATGTACAAAAATATATCCTTGCAACATCCTGTATTGTGCAGGGGACAAAAAATTACAACTTTTGTATTTTTCATTTTCGCAGGCGCACAGAAAAGAAAATTTCACTTATTGTGTTCAAGAAAATAAAGCACCTCCTACATAATATAAGGGATACTCACAGACCTCAAAAGAGGTCAAGACGTCAAGGCATGTGAATATCATTTATTTGTGGTTGTTTTATAACTCTAGAAGCATATCCATCTAAAACGACTTCTCATTTATTGACAGTACATAAAATAAATGTTAGCAGCCATGAATAGCTGTTTGGCACTTAATTAGGGCTCATTAGGAAGACATAGTTTACTTTGCAGTTTGTAAAAAAGTAAGATGATCTTATAATGAAACATGCATATTAACATTACCATAAGGGTTCATTTGAGCAAAAATGTATTCATTTATGAGTTTTAAATTGAGGTTTGATAACATGCAGAAGTGAAGGTTAGTAAAGAAAATAAAATCCTTCTGTAGGATCCTGTACATCTGGCCTTACAGTATATCATGTTCAATCTAGCATCTCCTCAAATATCTGTCTGCACTGCTTTGTGATAGGTTCTTTGCCATTATCTTTTGGACGTTATAAGGTCCTGTACATTATTAAATCCCAAGCAGCACATCTGGTTCAAGGGAAGAAGATTCAGTATGTATATAACCATGAAAGGAGTTCCATATAAAATGTATATACAGTATACTCCTGTATCAAAGGAATTTTATTTCATCAGTGTGATATTCTGTTCCTTGAAGACGAAGAATTAAAAATCTGTTTAGATGGTTTAGTTTGGTTTGGTTTCTAGTCTTGTGAAAGAACCAAAGCTAAATAATATTTGCATTCCATTAATTCCTAGTGACAGCTTTAAAAAAAACACCAAAATAATATTAGATTGTTGAGAAATGGAGATAAATTGTTTATAGGAGCCATGTTTGATGACCCCAGTTAATACCATTTTGGAACAAGTAAAGGTTTATTCCATGCTGAAAAGAGAAGAAAAGAAACACAACGTTTCGGCTTTGATGCCTTCTTCGGGTGTCAAGACCCGAACATCACACCCAAAGAAGGCTCCACAGCCGAAAGGGCTGTGTTTCTTTTCTTCTCTTTTCAGCATGGAATAAACCTTTACCTGTTCCTTTGCAGCCCACGCATGCTGATGCAGCTACAGTACCTCCTTGTAATACTATTTAGGTCAATGATATTAGTCCTGGATCTAATTAAGAGCACACATCAAGGTACCATTCTGTAGCACTTGTCTTAAATGCCACTGTGTTTTCTATGGCCACTATGACAGAAATATCACCTTCTGCTGTAGTGGCAGGTCATCAGGGCCCTTCCCATCCAGTTCGTCATCGTCATCATCGCTCATAAACAGGCTGGACGGGATGATGCCCTTTGCATACTTCTTGGTGATTTCAACAAAATCATCTAAAGCAATGTATTTGCTGGCTGGAAAATAAAGAAAAAAAATGGGGGATGTTCTCTTTGTTCAGAGAAACACAAGATCACGGGTTTGAAGTACATATACAAACTACAATTTGATACTCACAGAATAATCCTGTGATCCAAAGCTCTTCATTATGACGTGTGAAAGTCAATTAGAATGAGGTTCACATTCTTTTTAGGTAAAAGAGCAAAACATATTTTAATCAAACTGGCAGTTTACATCAGCAAAAGCTGTTTTTTTTTAAAAGCTTCACAATTAATTCTAATAACCTGATCAGCATGATAAATGCATTGTGGATTTGTTGAGATTGAAATGGAAGTAAACTATATGAAGAACAGATACAGTATTTACTTCATTTTATCTTCATTTTATTTACAGTACTTTATCATAGAGGTTGTCATAACCATTCAAACATCTGTAATAATTATGGAGCTTTTAGCTAAG